GGAGGCTAGATTGTGGCTGTGCAAACCAGGATTCACTCTCCTTCGACTCAAGTGTTGAGAAAGTCCGACCAGATGGACACGGAAAAGCAGCCCGGATCTACAGATCTCTTTCGACCTGGCTGTCGTCGCCGGCACAACCTTTACGAGAGGCAGAGAACAACAAGTGGATCATTGGACGGCTTCGGTAGAAATCGTCCAGCTCAGGGAAACACCTGCCCCTGCATTGCCGGTTGCAGCATGGCTGCCATTTCCCGTTGATGGATTCAGCCAAGTCTGCTTGATGTGGCGACTGACAGGGAGTGTACTATGGCTTACTGCCGCTTGGCCATACTCGTAGATGGTTTGGAGATTCACATATGCCCTGAAGCATCAGAGGCCTGGACCCTGCTTTGCCGGGCCTAGCACTCCTGGCTGCATGTCTCCCACCAGAGGCGGGCTATGAGCATGACACCCCGAGCCGAAGTCGGGTTCCACCGAACCTGGGGGGATACGCCAGTAGAAAGCTAGAGCCAAATCCGGTGGCCACGAGGCGAGCTGTGCAGACCACGAGTTTGGCTGTTCTTCGGTTAGGTGTTAGCGGGTAGGATCCGCGGTCTCTTTTCTAGCTTCTGGGCAGGGATGCAGCCTACCACACCGAACCCACTTGATGGGCAAGTACCTAGGAGATCTGTGTGGGGAGCAGACACACGGCAGGTATCAGAGTACCACCCTTTGCTCGAATCAAGCGCGGAAAGCGGGCTTGACGAAGGTGGCCGGCCGAAGCAACGTTCGCATCTTGGAGGCGTCTTGTTCCGATAATGATAGCCCCCGGACACAAAAGGGCATTCAGAGCAACGGTCCCAAAGCACGCGATGGTACCTCGGCCGTTGGGGAAAGGAAGCCTTGCGAGGTAGATCGGTTCACCGTTTGCCGTTGGCCTCCATCCACCTGGCAGGACCTAAGCCTACCTAGCTGGCCCATAACTACATATGGTCCTTTATTTGGCCTGTGTTCCGCCCCTTCGGTGACTATCTGGAGGACAGTCAGACGGACCATCGCATGATATCTGATGAAACCGTGCCAGTCGAGCACGCTCGCAGAAGAATCAGCAGAACAAGCAAGCCGTGCAAGGGCACGATACCAGGCAACCCAGCACCATCCCATCACTGGGATAGTGGACTTGGTTGGAAGTGTGCGGGCGGCTTGACGCAACCTGTCACTAGCGCCCGACGGTGGCTATCGATACACCGATAAGCCAAATCTGACCCTCTCTGTGCCCTTTTCCGGTGGGCTGTTCTCGGTGTCAAGTTACCCCTCCAGCCCCGCCTCGCCTTTCTTATCGGAGGTCCCGTCTCTCCAGCTTTAGCCGTTTGCTCCCCTGTCAACGCTCTCAAACGGATTCCGTTAACCACGACGCAGTGAGCAGTTGATCCATCCCATCTTGGTCGTTTGATGGTTGACTTCCTCCACATCCTCAGCGGACTTGAATGACACCCACTTCGCTCCCACTAGAAAGGTTGAGGTATCCATAACGGCCATCAGCTGCCTGTCTGCGGCCATCTCTAGCCTCAATTGCGCGGCCGGCCAATCTTGGCCATCCTGATTTGATCGACCGTGTGTTGCCATGCTCCCGTCCTCATCTTGCTGGCGTTCTCTTACGACCCATGTCGCCTGACCATATTGTCGTCGGTTGGTCTGGCGACTGACTCCCCAGCTTACACCTTCTCGTTTCTGTCTTCTTCCCTACTCGATGGCTGAGATATTCTTGTCAACCCTACCTCGACTCTAGAGACTCTCTTGCTGAGGGGAGCGAGGGGACCACTCTACCCTCGCTTGGCCTACTCAATTCGTTTGACACGCGGAACAAGCATCTGACTCTGATCGTGCACGTTTGCGTCTACTTTTGAGTCCCCGACTCCGAGGTCCAATTGACTTACATCATGGATCAAGCAGTTCCGCCAAATATGGCGAGCACCAACTCCATCGCAGCTCCCCATCCTTCCTCTCGACCTGTAACTCCCGCAAGCCCTATGATGGAGGCCCAGACACCTTTCGATCCTCCGGCGAAGCTGAAAGGCCGTCACAGATTACTACAAGGGCTGCAGCGCATGTCTTCCTCTCCGTCGCTTGCGAAGTTGGGAAGGACACGCTCGAGCGACAAAGTCTATCAGTCCAAGCAGAAAGCCTCCATCTCCTGCGTCTCGCTCAATTCACCTCCGTCGACGTATTCGCTATCACCACTCAACTCATATGCTCTTTCCAATGGCTTCTCTACAGCACCAACCACGCCCGGTTCGCCTGGCAGCCAGCAGTCCTACTTCGAAGCCAATGCCCGATTCCGACCGCTGGGCCCCAACGAAATCACCTCCGTCTCCGTACCGATCGACATCCGAACGTCGAAACCGCTTTCCACTCCTCTTCCCGAAATCTCCGAGAAGCCATTTCCCCGGCGCCCGAACTTCAATTTCTGGCAAGACATGCCGCACGAGCTGAGGATATACATTCTGAGCTTCCTGTCTCCGAAAGACGTCATTCGGGCCTCCTCCGTGTCGAAGGAATTCCATGACATGTGCTTCGATGGACAATTGTGGACGAGTTTGGACTGCCAGACATACTACCAGCAAATCACCTCGGAAGCTCTGATAAAGATCATGCTGAAGGCGGGAGCATTCGTCAAGAACCTCAACTTGAGAGGATGCGTGCAGCTGCGGGATCAGTGGCTCAGTCTGGGAACGAGAATGACGAATCAAGAGTGCAGGAACCTTGAACACTTCAGCATTGAAGGCTGCAAGATCGAACGGTCGTCCATTCATTTCTTCTTGCTTCGCAATCCAAGACTGCTGCACATCAACATGCCCAGCATGCAGAATATCAACAATGCGACCATGAAGATCATCGCCTGCCATTGTCCACAACTCGAGCTGCTCAACATCGATTGGTGCTCACAGATCGACACCAAGGGTCTCAAGAAGGTCATCCAGTCATGTCCGAACCTGACCGACCTGCGTGCCAGCGAGGTCCGGGGCTTGGATGACAATGATTTCATGCTTGAGCTGTTCCAGCGCAATACTCTGGAGCGTTTGATCCTCCAAAATTGTGACAGCCTGACGGACGAAGCGCTGGAGATCATGATTCACGGCATTGACCCCGAACGAGATGTCCTGACGGACCGACCTCTTGTGCCTCCTCGACGGCTACGGCATCTGGACATCTCAAGATGTCGAAGCTTGACCGATCGAGGGGTGAAAGCACTAGCCTACAACGTGCCAAACCTGGAAGGCTTCCGGACGTGTCAGAACACGGCTTTGACTGACGACGCGCTGGAAGCTCTCCTGCAATCAGTACATCGCCTGACGCACCTCGAGGTGGAAGAGGTTGAGCAACTGACAAACGCGACTCCTATCACTCTATCGAAATCGAAAGCAGCCAAGACTCTCGAGCACCTGAGTATTTCGTACTGCGAGCAGGTTGGGGACATTGGAGTGTTGCCTCTGCTCAAAGCGTGCCCTGAGCTCAAGTCATTATGCCTAGATAATACGAGAATCTCGGATCTGGTGCTTATGGAGGCTTCTGAGCAGGTCCGAAAACGCGGTAGCACGACCAAGAAATCGCAACGGCCCAAGAAAGGCCTCGAATTGGTTGCGTTTGATTGTGCTAACGTCACCTGGGCCGGTGTCCGAGAAATTTTGCAGGGTAATGGCCGTGTCATGCAAGGTCGGAAGAAATCCGTCGTCCAGACATACGGCGTCGAGGATGAGTACGGCGAGACGAAAGAACTCCGCAAAGTTGTCGAAATCCAGACTCTACTGTACCCCACGGAGATCATCCACCTCAAGGCCTTCTATGGCTGGCAGCAGACCGTGGAGGAGCACTATAAGCGATGTGCGACCGGCCGCTGGGGCGCCGCTGCCCGGCTTGAACAGAAATGGGCGGAGTGGATGGTGGCCAGCGAAGAGGTCGGCGTGGTCGGCCACGGGTGGAGTTCGAGGCGGAGGCGGAGACGCGCTCGTGAAGCCGAATACCGTGTCCGAGATGACGAAGATGGCGCTGCGCAGGAGGCAGTCACTGGAGATGAAGGCCTCAGCGAAGGAGAGTTTGTGGCTGGACGTGCACCGAGAGGAGGACGAAGACGAGCGCGAAGTGGTGGTTGCGTGGTTATGTAAATACTTTCGCGTTTCCATTTCACTTGATGTCTCTGGATTGGGTTGTTGTTTTGTTTTGTTTTCTCTTTCGGGTGGGCATAAAGCCCGGTTTGAATGTGGCTTGCGGCACGGTCATGGCGAACTTTGGCTTCTTAAGAAAAGACTTTGGAGATTCGGGGGCCTCTGTGATTAAAGAGTCATGGACCGGGCCCTGCCACACTCACATCTTGGACATATGGGATTGGGATTTGGATTTAGCGTTTTGTGTCGTGAACCGGAGCGCGGAGGTCGCCGGGATCGGGCCTCGCTGTCAAAAGAGCTTGCTGCATGGTGGTCTCTTGGAAGAGCTAGGGGTTGTGTCATTGTTGTGTCGGACGTCAGCTCTTTTCTGTCATCGTCTTTTGTAGCTTGTCCAAAGCTGGCCAACAAAAGATGTCTCATCTACGTCCGCGATTGCTAGTCCCCTCTTCCTCTTTGCACAAACTCTATCGCCACGGACTTACGACAAGCAGATAAGCTGGCGACAGCTGCTGTCTGCTAGGGGAACCACAGAACGGAGCGCAAGAACGTCAGTATCAGTCAAGGCATATGATTTAAATAAACCTAGACTAAATGGTCCTCACCACTCTCCATCTCACCCGTGAGGATGAAGATGGAGAGGGGTGTCCACTCAGAGGCCCGGTGAAACCGCGCCAACGATACTCTCGGGGGATTAAAGGACGTTCCTCTGCGGCAGTACAATGGTGGTGCTCACAGCCCTCCCAGCACAGCTCGGCCGAGCACATACCATATCCAACGCCATTCCTGCCACGATGAGAGCGGGGCGAGTCGAAAAAGGGGAGATAGAGGGAAAGAGGGGCCAGGGAGGGAGAGGAAGGCTCATTGTTGCTGTTGTTGCTGTTGTTGCTGCTGCTGCTGGTGGAGGGCGCGCTGCTGTTCCCAGTACTCGGACCGACAGCTACCCAGTGTCTGAGGCCCAAAGACACCAGCACGAACCCACGAGAAGCGATCCCAACTGCCAATGCCCCTCTTGATGGAGCCATCCGGCCCCGTGACGTCCCAGCCGCCGAACGCCCGCACGAAGAAGTCGAAAACCTTGTCCTCGAGCTCCTTGGGACCCGAGGCCAGGCCGATCTCCAACCACTCGTCCTGGTCCGGGTCCCACCACTCCCAGAGGAAACGTTCGTTCCTGCCCCGGATGGGGCGGGCGGCCGCGTCGCGCTTCACACGCAGGCGGTCGACAACAAGGGGCGCCTTGTTGTTGACCAGGATGGGTTTCTGGTCGGCGTCGGTGGTGACGCCAGAGTCGTAAAACAGCTCGTCGCCTGGCGCGACGAAGAAACCCCACGTTGCCATGTGTGAGAACTTCCACGTGCTGGCGCTGTCAGGACTATCGATGGGGAATCGCGTTAGCAATAAGGCTCCTCAGGGATAACATGATAGTGAGTGAGGAGAGAAGAGAGTGGAAATGACCACGGCAATGGTAAGGAAGTTCTTCTTGTCCATGGCGTCCACGTTCTATCTTTGACGATAATAGCAATTTGTGCGATGACAGTGGACGACGTCAGGGCTATATCGCATCGTCCTCTTGCAGGTAACCATTATGGTAACCATCTTGTCTCCGATCCGTGTATCAGAGCTCATTTTGCACCGACAAACCAGTATGCTGTGGTGAGCAGAGGCAGTTCTAATGGGAGGTCATCCACAAGGAAGGAAGTGGTCAAGCATTCTGCCGCATCGAAACCTCCGTCGAGCTGGAGAGCGCGACAGCGGAGGTGGACGGCCATGGACAGAATGAAATTTGTTGTTGATTGCCTGTGAAAGCAAGGTATCGGGCAGAGACGGCAAGCGGTACGGACAAATAGAAGGGAGACTTACACAGAAGGTGCATCCATGCTGAACAGGAGATGAGGGTTAAAGCAGCGTCTATTTTTGAAAGTCGCTGTCGTGAACTCTGCGGATATTTCGGCTGGAAGTGGCGCAGAGAAAGACTTTGTTAAAGCGGCGTGGGAGACACATATATTTGAGTGCAGCGCCGAGACACCAAAATCCAGCCAATCACGGCCATCACCACGCCTCGCTACAACGTGCAATTCTTTTATGCATTATGCACTATTCACACCAAACTAAAGGTGTCCTCTCTAAACGAGAACGTACAAGCTGCACATCATGCTCAGTCCCAAGATCATGCTGCTCCAGAATGCTGCATTGTTGAGCACCCATCGGCCCCGAACCAGCTTGCTCCGCTGCAACGCCACTATCGGTAGCTGTAGCATCATTGCGAAGAAGCCATAACCGCGTAGTTTTTTCGTGATACAGCCCATGATAAGCTCGTGGCCCAGTGAACTCACCAGAAAGGTGATTGTCATAGCAACTGGGGTTGAAAAGTATGTCTTGGAGGAGAAGAACACGTGTCGTCGAAGGAAATGGTACACTGGCGTGTTCCATTCCCGGCTGAACTCAAGCCAGTCACTTGAATTCCACCAGTCGGAGTAGAAGTGTCGGTCGGCGAAGCAGGTGATCTCGGCGAAAGCGCCCAGTATATACTCCCAGATGACGAGGAAGACCAGCAAGAAGGTGATCATAAACGGGAACAACATCATGCTGGTGGTTTCGGCCAGTATTAGCGCCTTGTCCGAGATTGTCTGCACAAGCTTCAGGCGAGCCGCTGACTCGGCCAGAACAGGCGTGATGAACTCCTCACTGATGGTGATCATCAGGAAGATACATCCGAAGACGGCAAGGGTCTTGTAGAAGAGCTCGTCCCATCTGATCTTCTCGGTCCTGGGGTACTCGAGCTCGTAGCAAAGCGTCGGACATAGAACGTAGTCGGCGTAGTTGTACCAAGTGAGATTCTGCGGATATGTGACTGAGCCCAGGGGAGACGTGAGCTCTTTGGCCAGGTCTTGCCGGAGCTGAGACAACTCTTCCTCGGCCTCCTTCTCCTCGGGCGAACTGTCCGGGTCCAGTTGCCGCAACCGTGACGGAGAGCCTGGATATTTCACAGCTTTGCCACGATCGGCAGTATCGGGCCTGTCGAGGTCTTGCAGCCGTCTCTCTGTCTCGGCCAGATGACCGTTGTAAAATGCGTAAGAGTGCATCTTCATGAGGAAGGTCAGGGTGTGGAGAGCGAAGAAGACCTGCGCCGTCCATGTCCAATCCAGCAAGAATGGCCAGCTCACCCACAGTGTCAGCCACAATGCTTGATATATGCTCTGGATCCAGATTCCGGCTCTTCGCCATCGCAATATCCCATTCGTGCCCCGAGCCAGCCTCTGAATCGGTAGGCTCAAAGCAGAGCTGCCCACCATTGCGGCATCGCTCAAGCCCAAAGAAATGACATTTCTGGATAGCAGCTCGTAGACCTCAACCCTCAGTGGATGGCCCGTCTCTTTCAGATTGCGCAATCCTGTGGTGATGACCATGATAGTCAAGCTGATCCAGAACAGCACGAAGAAACCTCGGAAGTCACGGTACTCGCTCTGAGGATCGAAGTGGGAGACGCGCGGAACGTAGTTGATGGTGTGAAACAGCCTGTGCTTTGCTTGGGCTCGCGCAGCCTTCCGTGCAGTGGAGAGAGATTGGACCGAAGGCGGCGCATCGTGAGGCACAGGCGTCGAGCGGCCACTGCGAGCGTTTGTTAGGGAGGCTCGATTTTACTCGATGACAACCACGTACCTCGATATGCCTGACGGGACATCAACGTAACCGTTCGGAGTCAACCCATTGCCCGAAGCTCGTAAGGCCTCCGGCAACGCTCTCCTCGGTCGGGGGCGCAAGATGTTTCGTTCTTCGCTGCTAGAGCGAGCCATTGATGAAGTGGTCGATAGAGAAATATGTTACAGAAGGGTGCAGCGGCGAAGCCGGGAGACACAGAAGGCTGCCATGATTCCGTAGAACCAAGAAATCTCGAGACTCGATAGCCCTGCTACTGGAGGAATGATTTTCGGGCTCGCTGAATCCGAATGCGCGTGTCTCCAAACTCTACCGAAAATGGGAGTAATCAGCACGTCCCATCACATCAACGTCGACGTCAGCCTCGGCGTCCGCTGCGACCTCGCCGCCAAATGGGTCAGAAGGAGCAGGCATCTATTCCTACTCGCCCATATTTGCTCTCGTGACTACTCGTATCAAAACTGGTCTCAGGACTCTACCCGGTTGTGAGTCTATGGCAACTAGACAGCGTCGGGTCTGACGAAGGCGGTGATGTGGTCTGATATTCGAAGTGCGCCTCCTCGGTTCGGAGCATCATCACCACTGGGGGATCGCCTTCGGACCACTATTTCCATCGCATGCGAGGCGACAGAAAGCCTCTTCTTCTGCTATCTCGTCATTCTTGTCATTGGTTCTTCGAGCAGGGAAGATCTTCCGCCCTGCCTTCTGCTCCTCCGCCATGTGTTTGTACAGCACATCCTTGACAAGGTTTTTGAAGTAGATGACTCCCTTTTCGTTGTGCGGGTGGAGTGGCCCGTTGATGTAGGTGTCCATGTTGAAGTTCTGCTGCACCGCATTGCAGAGACCCAGGTCTTCGATTTCCACCTGCTTGAAGAAGGGATTCATGGTGTCGAAGTCTTCCTGAGTGCAATCCTTGTGCCGATAGACCTCATACTCGAGCTTCAGGGATGTGGCTGACTTGGGCGCAAAACGTGTAAGGTAGGTTATGCCGTCACTGGGGAGAATTAGCAAAGCCTCGCAAATCCTTGCTCATACCTACGATATCAAAATCGCCGCGTTGGGGAAGAAATATGTTGGCTGCACCCCGTACTTGTGCTCAACGCTCTCCAAGGGCTCGGAATAATGTTCAATGAACCCATTGATACCCTTGACGTCGTAGGTATCCAGTTTGGTCGTTGCCAGAATGCCAGGATGCGCCGTCGTGCAATGATAACACTGAAAACGTCAGTCGCGACAATGGCTGTTTGAGGGCACGCTACCGCACCTCATTGTAGTTGTCCACCATGGCCTTCCAGTTGTACTTGCCTTCCAGTTCCCATGCGTGGTCAAAGTCGAAGTCATCCATGCTGAAATCTTTTTGCCGCGGCTGCATATCAACGCCATCGAAATGGTCTTCCCAGGGAATAGTCGGTGGATTGGCAGAGTCGAGGTTGACCCAGACGAACCCAAGCCTGTCTAGACGTAAGTGGACGGGATATAGAGAATACATGGTTTTGTCAAAGTTGTCCACTGTCTCGAAGCGGGGGGCTTTTGCGAGATTTCCAGACAACCCGTAAGACCAGCCTCAAGATGATCGTCAGTCAAGGACCTGTCTCGGTGCGGCGTCGGGTCTTACCATGATACTTGCAAGCCAGAATGCTGACCTTTCCCCCTTCTCCACTGCCTTTCTCGATGATGGGATACGCTCTGTGCCGACAAACATTCAAAAATGCCTTTAGTTCCTTTTGCCGGTCGCGAATGACGAAAAACTTGAAACCGGCAATCTCGAAATTGACAAACTCTCCAACCTCTTTGAATCGCAACGCATGAGACACGCACATCCAGCGTTTCGAGAAGATCGCTCGCTTCTCAAGTTCGTACAAGCCCTCCTCCCGATACCACGAGGCAGGAAGGGTGTTCACGGTTGGGCCATGACCGCCTCCGCTTGCACAGTTCGCGTCGATGCTGCCCATAATGAGATGATCTCAGTCTCCAAGGTGTGCGCAATCCGTAAAGGAAGTTGTGACTTTACGAGCGGTTGGAAAGTGTTTTGAGGAAGTGATACAACCCTTACATCCAGCATACCCCACAGCACGGGGAGTTGCACGGACCAGAAGACGGGTCCATGGATATCACAAGCCTGTTGGAACATCTCTGTCCCTCTTGCCAACTTCAGTCACGAAAGCGCTATCTGCTTCGTTGATAGGCGGATATGTCCATTAGGAGTTCTCGGCTCGAGCCACGTTCGAGATCGAAGTCTTGGAGCAGCTGCGAAGACAAGGATGTTCGCAATTTGCGGTTGTATTTGGTAAGGTGCAGAGCTTCTAGCCAATGAAGAATAATGTGATTATCCCGACTCGGCAGAGTTTTATTCCTTCCAGCCGCCAATCTATGGCGCCATCACAGCGCCAGGCGGTGTGCTGAGTATACCTTGCCTTCGTACACAACTATGGATGGCGTGGCGTGAACGGTGCAAGAAACAGTCTCCAGATTGAGTGCTTTCCATATGACACGCAGCCTCTCCAAGCAATGCAGCTCGCACAACGCCGAGGCTCATTCTTCGACATGCTTTTCGCCCTTGATGTTGAGGCCTTTGTCGAGAAACGGCTTGATACCCGGGAGGGCTTCAGGATCACGGCCGATTTTCTGTCCCGCCTCATACGCTGTACGCAAGTGTCCGGCATGTTTCCCGAACTCAGCATAGGAACAATCATCCAGAATTGAGATTCTGAGAGGCTCGAACCCGCAGTAGCCGAAGACGCCATATCGCCAAAGGTGAAGCATGTGATTGTCGTAACCCCATCGGTGTAGCTGGTTCGAACTTGCTCCTGCCAAGGCGAAGACCGTGCATGGTCGGTGAGACAGTAGAGTGCCCTCTGGGTTTCGTTCGGATTTGTAGCACCAGCCAGCCGACCAGACCCTGTCGAGCCAGCCCTTGAGCATGGCTGGCATCCCGTACCACCAAATCGGAAAGACGATAAAGATAGCATCCGACTCTTCCACGAATCGTTGTTGCTCGAGTACATCCTCCGTCATCGGAACGCCATCGAACTGCTCCCAGTCGCGAGGTGTGAAGACCGGCTGAAAGCCATCCTTGTACAGGTCGACGACTTTCGTAGTATGGCCCTCGCTCTGCACTCCCCTAACGACCTGCTCGGCAACGGCGTGCGTAAAGGAGCCTTGGTTTAAGTGACAGATGACCACAAGAACGTGCATAGTGAAAAGCTGAGCGTCGTAGACCCGCCAGGCGTGCAGGTGGCTGAGGGAAGGGAGGCGAACCAAAATGGGAACAGATACATATCAAATAGATCAGTCACCCAAGGGATTCTTCCTGCACTTCCTGCACAGTTGGGGGTCCGATGCTCCTTGGAACGGAGTTATCCGCCATCTTGGTGCTCCGTCTAGTTGTCATCTTCAAATCATCAAAAATTCCCACTTGTTCCTGATTAATAAATCGACCCACGACACGTTGAAGCCACTGTCCATCAACCGCCATGTCTCAAATACAAGAGACATCATGCGGCGAATCGTGTTGAAGGGCAAGATCGCCTGTATTCTGTCGAATCGAGCAATGACATCGGCCCTCGCTTGCAGTACAGCTTGCCGTATACCTGCTTCCGAGTTATCGTGATGGGTCGCATGTGAATGCGGCTCCGAGATAGCAATGATCGTCGCGTGGTCTGTGGGTGCTAGAGCGAAGTCCGCTCTCAATGAGAGTTCCCCAGACACTATCACCAGCAGTATAGCTTCGATAGTCCGAGTGCCAGAGGTTGGGGAGATCTGTCCCAGCAAGTGCAAAATGTCAAATGCAAGAGACAGGCACCTTCTCGGCTCAAGAGCGTTGGCAGCAGACTTCGTCGCGTGCAATGGAGCACTGCAGTGTGTCTGGTCGGTGAGAAGGTCCGGATGAGCGTGGTAAAGAAGCAAAAGGCCACTTTCTCGGTATGCCCGAGCAATGTTCAGCAAATCCAGCACAGAGGTATGAGGATCGCCCGGGTCAAGAATCAGGTCAGCGGGTGGAAGCTGTAGAGAAAGAAGTTCATGTTCCAGATGCCGGGCCATTTCGACGTTCGCCAATGATCTTTGAACCGCATCCGCGGTGGTCGTATCCTGCTCTAAGACCATCCGGCGCTGGCTAAGAACCAGCCTCGCAACCATTCCGAGCAAAACTTGAGACTCGGGCGAAACCCCTGTCAATGGGTGTGGCATTCGTGGTTCAGTGGAGCTTCTGTGGCTTAGGGTCGGTGGCTTTGAGGTGCGACACGAATCTGGACTGCAGGCGAATGACAGCATCATCCACCAGTAGACTAGAAACTCTTCAAAGAACCTACGGTTTCTAGGCGTAATAACATGGCCCTCTCGCACAACTGTGGCGGCAACGGTGTAGTGCTCCAGTCCAAGATCGCTCAAGTCATACCAACTGCTACTGAGGCCAAACATGTTGATGACCAGGAGGACGTCGAGGTTTTGTGCCGGGACCTGGTCGGTGACTGACGAGAGGTTAGCAGAGAGCTGATTCAGAATTTCGAGGCGCGCTTCATCCACTGCGAGTCGAAGTGGCGAATTTGAATCGGAGCCTGCTCGATATAACCCCACGAAGAACTTGAAGGCCGAGAAGAGCAGGGACGACCGTCTCCATGTGGACAGTGCTGCCGCACGAATGGGGCTGGATAGGCCATCGTAAATTGACAATACCCTGGCGAGAACGCCAGAATAGCACTGAACAAAATGGACAGATTCTCGAAAAGCCAACGGGGATAGCCGCTCTGCTGTCCGAAGGTTGACCGACGGACATGCCAATGGCACAGTTTCCGCTGCTTGTTCAGTGGCGCCAGAAGGCTGCGTAAGCTCCTTTGAGGTTTCATATCCATTTCCCTCGAGGAATGCATAAGCAGTTCTCGAAGGTGCTAGCTGCCCCAGACAGCCGGACGGTGACAGGCATTGTGAGACAGGCGTGGACGTGTTCGGAGTCGCTAAAACGCAAGGCGAGGAAGTCCCTTGTGCCGATTTCTCGTATTTCTGGGACCAGCGAAGCGGGCGTTGGTAGCCCGGGCATAGGATTCCTCGATTCATGCCTGACCATATCAGCCATGGATTTGGTGTTCTCGAGCTCAGGAGCATACATCTTGAGCACGCAGGCCGTTTCTCGTCACACTTTACGTGGGATCTCCTGCAGGTAATACATCCTCTGCGGGAGTACTTTGACATATCCTCGCATGGTAAAAGGACGAACTGGGCGTAGATCACATTTCGAGCGAAGTGATGACGGGGGAAAGATATCAATTGAGGACGAAACGTCGAATGGCCTGGACTAGACTAGTTACTTTCGCTTGTTCTCTCTCCGATTGGCTGATGTCGGAGGACACTTCTGCGCCGAATGTGAAATGTTCCTGAATCAACAATTGAACTTCATATTACACACAACCAGAAATACCACAGTTGAATCTGCTCTCGATCGAGGCTTTGCGGGCTTTCTTCCCAGTCACGCCGACACGGTACCTGCCGAATCCGTATCGATGAAAGAGTGACCGGAGAGTGAACGACCCCTCCCCGGGTCAGCGTACGCAGCCATGACATCTCGTATGCCTTCCCCTTGCGCCTGGTCTGGTCTGCGTCGCCCGACCTACTGACATATTCCCAGTAAAACAATTCATCCGTAATGTACGAGCGTCCAAGACAATCGCAGACGAACGAGCCGTGGTCCAGAAAGAAAGTGCGGCAATTCGAGCCAGTTTTCGGGAAGAGAGCGGAGACTCGAACATCAGGTCAATCGTCCCACATGGTTCGAGAGGAGCAACAGTCTGACTGTCAGTAGGAGGAACAACGTTGCGAAGCTCTTATACCTCTTTACCCTCGGCGAACGGACGCACTTCGGCCAGATAGAATGCCTCAAACTGCTGGCTTCTCCTCGGTTTGCGGACAAGCGACTGGGCTACCTGGGGACTATGCTCTTGCTGGACGAGAATCAGGAAGTCCTCACGCTGGTCACGAATTCCCTGAAGAAGTGCGTGACACATCGGCCAATTGAAGGGACCTACTAATTCTTACATAGCGATCTCAACCACTCAAATCAATACGTGGTCGGCCTCGCACTCTGCACGCTAGGCAACATCGCCTCTATCGAAATGTCGAGAGATCTTTTCCCCGAAGTCGAAGCCCTCATATCTACCGCCAACCCTTACATTCGTCGGAAAGCCGCTCTCTGTGCCATGCGAATCTGCCGGAAAGTCCCCGATCTGCAGGAACATTTCTTTGAGAAGGCCAAAGCCCTGCTTCAGGACAGAAATCACGGGGTACTGTTGTGTGGCTTGACCTTGATAACCAGTATGTGCGAGGCAGACGAAGCAGAAGGTGGTGAAGAGGGTGTCGTGGACATGTTTCGACCAGTCGTTCCACATCTGGTACGGACACTGAAGAGCCTGACGAGCTCCGGTTATACACCAGAGCACGATGTCTCGGGGATCACAGACCCTTTCCTACAAGTCAAGATCTTGCGGCTATTCCGAGTGCTTGGGCGAGGAGACACGGGTATCAGCGAACAAATCAACGACATCCTTGCCCAAGTTGCTACCAACACTGAATCTACCAAGAACGTTGGCAATGCTATCTTGTATGAAGCAGTCCTTACCATTCTCGACATCGAGGCCGACTCCGGTCTGCGCGTACTGGGGGTAAACATCTTGGGGAAATTCTTGGCCAACAAAGACAACAATATCCGATACGTTGCGCTCAACACGTTGATCAAGGTAGTGGCTATCGAGCCGAACGCCGTACAAAGACACCGAAACACCATCCTTGAATGTCTGCGAGACCCTGACATCTCTATTCGTCGGCGAGCGCTCGATCTTAGCTTCACCTTGATCCGCGAAGACAACGTGCGAGTTTTGATACGAGAGCTGTTGGCGTTCTTGGAGGTTGCAGATACAGAGTTCAAACCTATCATGACAACGCAGATCGGGATCGCGGCCGATCGCTACGCTCCGAACAAGCGCTGGCACATTGACACTCTGCTGAGGGTTGTCAAGATAGCTGGGAATCACGTCAAGGAGCAGATTCTGTCGTCTTTCATTCGGCTCATCGCGACTTCGCCGGACCAGCAAACCTATGCTGTTCAAAAGCTATATGCCGCGCTGAAAGCTGATATCACACAGGAGGCATTGACTTTGGCGGCCGTTTGGGTTATTGGTGAATACGGCGATGCTCTCCTCCGCGGCGGAACGTATGAAGAGGAAGAGTTGGTAAAGGAAGTCAAGGAGAGCGACATTGTTGATTTATACACGACCATCCTCAACTCGACCTACGCAAATCAGATCACCACCGAATTCATTATTACATCAGCAATGAAGTTGACGACCCGAATGTCAGACCAGTCGCAAGTCGAACGAATACGGCGCCTGATGCAATCACGAACGGCCGATCTGAGTGTCGAAATCCAGCAGAGGGCGGTCGAGTATGGCAACCTGTTCGGATACGACTCTATCCGAAGAGGAGTTTTGGAGAAGATGCCACCACCAGAAATCAAAGAAGAACAAAGAGTTCTCGGCCAGTCCGCGGTGCCGGCGAAGGATAAGCGGAAGTCGTTGAAGGCCAAGACTAACGCCAAAGTCACAAAGACAACAGAGTCTGATATGCTTCTCGATCTCATGGGTGGCTCCGATGCGCCTGCTGTAAGTGCCAGCGCTACTTTAAATGGCAATCAGCAGCAGACAGCAGATTTGCTTGCCGACATCCTTGGTGGAACTTCCGTCTCAAGTCCGCCGCCACAGACGAAAAGCCCTGCGCCAGCATCCAGTACTGACTCGATCATGGATTTGTTTGGAAACGGGACGCCGAAACCCGCAAGTCCTGCCCCGGGCGGACATGTGGCACACCCAGCGTACAACAAGAATGGCTTGTCCGTCGCGTTACAAGTTTCCAGGACTGGAACCGCCATCCAAGCGATGGCAAAATTCAAGAACACTTCCACCTTTGAGCGAATGACAGATGTTGGCCTGCAAGCGGCTGTGCCGAAGAGTCAGAAGTTGACACTGCAGGCCATCAACAAAAGCACGCTGGACGGCGGCGAGGAGGCCACCCAGGGCATGAGGATCGTAGCAGCTACTGGGGTAAGTCCATTCCTAACCCGATCCTGTTCCCATTTCTGACCGGATTTTCAGTCACTCCCTCCAAAGCTTCGCCTTCGTCTCAAAATATCATACACCAAAGATGGCGGTGGACCGGTGACAGAGCAAGTCGACTGGACCGAACCATAATGTCGGTGATGGTCGATGGGCTATATATGTTTGATTCATGTGGATGTGGAGAAGGGCAAGCAAGAGTCATCAGGGACTTCTTCATGCTCGACCACTTGATTCGACAGTTCCGGCCGGGGACAGCTCGGCGGCGGCACGTACAGTGTGGTTGTTGTGATATCTATTCAGTTCGAAGGATCATCTGGACAGTCGCCTTGACTGCTGAAAGCCTGCGACTGTGACACCAAACGCGGACGGTTGCGTCGGTTGATAGGGTATCCCCAGCCAACCGATAGTCGCGGAAACCTTCCGCTGCCACACCAAAACCTGCGCACAAGCCTCTCTCTAGTCCCTGCTCCCACACAATCTTCTCCGACCTCATGTGCTTACTTTCCACCGGGTTCGCCTCTGTGAAGGATCTGAGCGGAAAATCGCCGAGCATGTGCTCAACTGGTAGAATTGTCCTCAACCGTCGCCAGTGAAGATATTATGCTGGCAGTTTGCATGGCACCGTGGAATGCGAGAGTGACCGCCGCCTCCACCATTTTTCATTCGCTTGATCCTCCTTTATCACTCGGCAAGCATGCTGCTGCTTCTTTTGACATATGCTCTTCCGGCTGTCCTGATCTTCTACCTTCTTAAGAACTATTTTGCGCTCTCCTCAGTACCTGGTCCGTTAATCGCTCGCTTCACCGACATCTACCGCGCGCTCCTCGTATACAACAGGTCCGCCCACGAAGCCCATCTCAACCTGCACAAACGGTATGGAAACCTCGTCCGCCTTGGCCCGCGATGTCTCTCCGTCACCGGTTCGGCGGACTACGTCCCGCAAATTTATGGCATCGGTAAAGGGTTGATCAAGTCCGACTTCTACAGCTGTTTCCAGAACATCGTCAACGGCAGGCGAGCGGCGAGCCTCGTGGCCATGACGGACGAGGTTCAACACGCAAAGTCGAAGCGGTTGATCGCGCATGCGTATTCTTTGAGCATCCTGGTTGAGTACGAGGAACTCGTAGATCGGACGACGGAGGTGTTTCTAAAGACGCTGGAGGAACGGTTTGCTACTGGCGTTGAGGAGTTAGACCTGGGCCGGTACCTGCAGTTCTTTGCGTTTGATGTCATCGGCGAGCTTACCTTCAGCCGGCGGTTGGGGTTCATTGAGCAGGGAATCGACATCAACAACATCATAGAAGCGATCGGAGCGAATTTCAATTATTTCAGTGTCCTCGGCCAGATGCCGTGGCTGGACGAGGCACTCCTAGGCAAGAATCCATTGTACGTCAAGTACTTCCGCAAGAGTGTCAGCTCGCCAATCCTGCTGTTTGCTCAACGCTTGTTGAAAGAGCGGCTGCGTGAGCTGGATGAGGGCGGCGCGGACGAGAAACAGGATAAATTGGACAGGCCCGATTTCTTGAGCCGATTTCTGAAGATAAGGAAGGCGGAAGCTGGAGAAGAGACACTGACAGATGCACAGATTCTGTCCAATCTATTCGTGAGTTCCCAATTCTGGCTGGCTTCATTCAGTACGAGAGACTGACCGTGAGTCCGCAGATGAACATTAACGCGGGAAGCGACACGATAGCCTCGACCCTGCGCGCAATATTTTATCACCTCCTGAAGAATCCCGTATCCCTGTCTCAGCTTCAAGAGGAGCTCGACTCAGCGGTGGCAGAAGGCCGCATCTCCAGCCCGTCCCCAACCTGGAACGAGTCTCAATCGAATCTTCCTTACCTCTGTGCAGTCATCAAGGAAGGGCTGAGAATGAATCCAGCTCTGTCTCTGCCTCTTGAGCGCGTCGTGCCAAGAGAGGGTCTCAGTCTTCAACATGCCGATGGGACACGGACGTTCCTTCCTCAAGGCACAATTGTGGGCATTAATCCCTGGGTCTTCCACCGCAGTGCTCACGTCTTCGGCCATGATGCTGATTCGTGGAATCCCGGTCGCTGGCTGAGCGCGAAGGAAAAGGAGACGAAGCATATGGAGCACAGTATCCTCGCCTTCGGAGCGGGAAAAAGATCGTGTCTGGGGAAGAACATCGCCATGCTGGAATTGCACAAGCTGGTCCCGGCACTGTTCTTGAAGTTCCGGATTGAGCTCGCTGAACCGAGCAGGGAGTGGGAGGTCAGTAATGCATGGGTGTTGAATCAGACCGGCTTAAATGTGCGGTTGGCATTGCGGTGAAAAACCGGACACTATCCCGAACGACACAAGACTGGTACAATGGCAAGAGAGTAGTGCTCAGAACCACGAACCGTTCACGCCCACGGCTGCGGACTGCATTCTATCACCTCCACCAAAACCCTCAGGGATCGCCAGATATCTTCATCCCACGAGCCTCGAAGCGCCTCCACCAGAGTCTGTCCAACGACCCCGACACTCACTTGGATTGCCAATGCCCTCCTTCTCAGGGCATACTCATTTAGGTGTATCGAAGCTGCATCGGGAAGACCAATGCCCAACATCTCCCTCGCTTTGTTCGGAATGCGATGGAGACTTTCCCGTGACGCAGCTGCTTGGGCCAAATATCGCTGCATCGGTACAGGCTGAGCTTTCAGGCGAGAGAAGTACAAGTCGACGATGATCCAGGCGGTGAGGGCCGACATGAGGACCGCCGCTGCGGCAGGGAATATCCGCTGCAGGACCTCGATGTAAGTCTGGTCCGAAATCTGAGGATTTCTTAGCGCAAGGACAGCAGGTGAATCCAGCTGAAGCATGTCGTGCGGAAATTGATCAATGGCTCTGGTGACTGCGTTCAGCGTTCTCTCCAGTTTCCTGCAGCGCGACCACGTTGCACTTCTGGTTGTGGGCGACGGTTCGCGAAGAGCGTGCATGTCGATGTCTGCTGTCCCTCTGATCGCCCACCTCTTTTCAGTTGCGCGAAAGGATCGATCGCTTCGGGTTCTCCGCGGTGATGTCTCGCACGGATCCGCGAGATCATGAAACCGCTGCCAGGTACTGAAAACATTGTCAGATCGGCTGGACCGGCTGCGGCTCGGGAGAGCGAGGGGTTGTGGAAGGAAACTAGATGTTGGATGTCGAGTGGCATGGTACATTGCACCGGAGATAGTGGAGGGAACGTGAAGAGGAAGTTCGGAAGGTGTATCGTACGGACTGAAGGCAGACACCTCCACAGGTATTTGCTTCGGGGTCGAGGGAATATGGAGACTTTCCACAGACGGCTTCGTCCCAGAATTCGAGGGCGGACGGTGAATATGGACCAGCTTTGGTTTGCCAGGCCCTACCAGGACAGTAGCGATCATCTGGACATTGGTTAGCACTGCTACCTACATTCTGTGGGTAACTCACTCCTTTGTTCTCGTCGCACTCCGAGTGAGTTTCTTTCCACGGTTGCTGGACAACTTGATAGTATCGGGATTTGAATCGACGCATCCTCTCGTCGTACGAGGTAGTGTTGGCAAGCCAGTCAGATTCGTCCGTGCAGAAGGTAGGCTGATATTCCTGCTCAAGCGGAGTTGCCGGCATAGACTCTGACGCCGTGCTCTGGTTGTCGTCCTCGAGTGCTTCCCTACAGGAAGAATGGTCCCGTGAAGATCTGTCTTCCGGCTGCCAGAGATTATCAGTGGGATCGTCGCAATAGTACGACAGAATGTTGAAACTATCTACATAGCTGTCCTCCGAGCTCGAGGTTTGAGGTCGCTGGCGAGGATTGTGAAATTTGAAGTATGGTTCGCATTCGCGAGCAGATTCTCTCGCGATAGGACTTGGAAACAAAGGGGTGACTGGACTCGAAGCCGCTTGATGCTGGGCGAGAACACGGAGGTTGTTGTAGCTGGCGGACATCCTGCGAAGTTCCGGATGAGAGGGGTCAATACTTGAAGAGCCGTCCGCCACGATCGAGGAAGGGCCGGGAAGAATTAATGGAAATGGTTCCTTCGTGTCGGTCACTGAGGGACGTGTTCGAAAATCGTCTTGGAGCGATCCACTTTGCTTCGAGTTGACAAGTTTTGACCGACGAAACAGCCTCGACAGTTGCAATTTGGGCGCGTTCCGTGGAGGCCCGATCGGAGACGAAGGCGGTGTCATTCGTCCTTCTCTGGAACAATGGGTGAGACGGATCGAAGTTGGCCAGCCTTGGTGCTGAGCATCTGCCGTGCCGAAGTCCTGCGGAGGAGTCAATTGTTCCATTGTGTCTGTGCGAGTTGGAATCAGTAAGTAGTGGAAGAGGCCATCTCAACGAAGGGCGAGCTGAGACATATATCCCAGTATTTACTCCCGCGCGTGTTGCAGATCGAACTGCCACGGCACCAGACCCTCTTTTGAGGTGGACGCAGTCGATTTTCGATTCTCGCCCTTGCATGTTCTCGAGTATCAGATTTTGTGTCGCACAACGTCGTCCCGCTCTCCTGCAGAAGGTCTGCCAGCCACCTCTGCGGGTGAGAAGATGTGAGATGTGGGAAATTCATCCCTTGCGTCAACCCCAACTTCGATAGCACACGATAACTGTAAGAAAGCTGGGAAGATGCCTGGCCGTCAAGCTGCGTAGCTGAACAATTAGATTTGACAGGCCAGATGCAGTCCTTCTAATTGTCATGCCTTACATTGCAGGGGGTACAAAGTCCCGACGCTGTGTGCCCACGAGCTGACACTCTGAAATTGCCAGCCTGCAGGAGGGAGTTGGTATGTCAAATGCACAGAAAGAAAGTCAAGCAAAGTTAGGAGCCACGGCTTGAGAAAACCAGGGCGTGTCCTTCTGCTGCTGTATCAGGGTTGGACGACTTTGATTGGGGGTGATATTCCTCGCATTGAATTCCACAAAATTCGTCCGCAGCTCCCCCGTATAAGGTGACCTTGTCCACAAGTGCCCACGCTTGCTTGGGTTGCCGGACTCTCGATTCTAATCAATAGAAGTGTCGTGCGGTGCTCTTATATCTCAAGAGGGTACCCGGGGTTTCTGAAAAGTCTACATGTGCTCAATTGGCTCTTCTGGCAGAAGTTCTTCCCGTTCGGCTTCGACCCTGGCAGGGAGAAGAGCTTTGATCGGTGGTCTAACGAGGTCGTTGAACATGAATGTGCCGTAAACGAGCTGTGAGGAAAATTAGCATTGGGATTGAAAGTCGCATGAGATGAATCTCACCAATGCAAAGCCCACCACCTGAAGCCACTTAAAGGTCTCCCAGCCTAGCCCTAAGGACACAATCCAGATGAACAAAGTCCGACAAGTATCGATAATCGACCGAGACGTAGCCGAGATGCTTCGGGTCACCGACAATCCAAAAAAGTTGAAGCCACCAATTGAGACCATAATTGCAAGACTCGAAATGCCAATTGCACGGTTGGTAAAGACTTGATGATAACCCTCGGCAGCGTCGAAATACCCGTACTTGCCCGCTTTGGAAACGCCAACAGTGAAATGCAGGATGACCTGAAGCACGACCGTGACGATCAAGCCGAACAAACCTTCCCATGCAACGACTTTCAAAGGTTCCAAGGCATAATTTTCCAGAATCCATTCCTCCAGGCAGAACTGCGTAGCCGTGAAGATCTGCGCGAAGGCGATGAGGAAGATGCCGATGACAGTGCGCACGACGACAGGATCGGCGGCTTCAACCACCACCTGCCGAGCAGCCAGCGCCATGGCACGGATCAGCTCAAGACTGGTTTCCTTTGGCGCTGGGGAGTTTCTGTCTCCCGTATAGATCGCTCCAGCAAGTCCCACCAATGCAACGCCCAAAACGACAATTACCAACGAGAACCAGTGATATAGATAGAGCTTCCTCTTCAAGAACAGGACGCTGAACAGCCCAACGAATAGAACCAATGCACCTCTTGTCATCTGGTATATAGAAGCCGCCACAAACAAGAGGCCAACATTCATCAAGGTCGTGCCCGTGATATCGCAACATGCAGGAAGGCCCAGTAAGACCAGTTTCCAGCCTTTGAGAGCAGCCCTGTCGTCTGCATTCGGGACAAGGGGTTTCAGCGCAGGGTCGACGGCAGCACCGCGAGAGCTGGGCCGGACGGTATCGTCATCGTCCTCGTCCTCAGTGCTGACTGGCTGGTAGAGTAATGGAGCGTCTTTGGATCGCAGGACAAAGTAGCGGTACAGGTAGAATCCTAATATGACGAGCCAACACCCCGATTCCCCGATAAACATTTGCACGCTGTGGTTGTCAGCGGGTAACCCTGACATTGGTGTATTCTGAGCTTACGTTTGGACGACTGGCTGTTCAAAAGTCCTGTGGTGCTTTGGGTTCTTGCTATCACAGCCCCGTACGCATTGTTGGTCTTGATACTTGGTGAGCAGCGTATTAGAACATCCGGTCAACAGCATCATCCCCACCAGGAATGGGATCACTGCTTTGACGGCCATGACCGAGGGCTCGTGTGCCTGCGGGCAAGGCCACGGCGATGTTCTAGGGGACCGGCGCTTTTGGAAGAGACCCAGTGAGTGACCGTCAGGTAGCTGCAGTACGGCTGGTTGCTGATGAGGGTCGAAGTACAAAGGCGGAGGGGAATGATGGACTTGACAGTGTTCAGTCGCACCTCAAGGAGTGCGAAAGGCGGAAGTGAGTGACGCTTCGGATCGGATTGTTCGGCAGAACGCAGCCTTGACGCATAGTGGAGACAAACTCTGTCGAGTGGGCGGGCGTCTGCAGCCCCGAAAAGTAAACAAATCCTAATTATGGGGAATGATGCTGAACGTAAGGCTTAGATTTCTAGCAGGTGTTCGTGCACTGAAGATCAGTTCTCCAAGGGTGGCTAGCCTTGTGCTGTAGAAGTGCCTCCGCTTCCTTTCGATGTATACAATCAGTAAACAATCTGTATTGCATGAGCGCTGCCCCGCGTAGTCAGGCGCTGTAGAAGCACACGGCAATCCACCCAGCTTTCGCAGCCAGACAATTCGTGCTCGGTCATCCATGCTCAATTGTTCATGATCAGATCCCCAAGATCAGATCGTAAAACCAAATTGCCAAACGCAAAAGCCTCCCGCGTTTCATCCGCCCAAAATATCATCAATAAATCATGTACAAGCCGTCCTTCCTCTCCCTATGTGCATCTCAAATGAAGTAGCCCAAACGAGCTATCATCCAGAGTATACTCTGCTCGGGCGCCGCACTCCCGACGAGCTGCCACTGCGACTGCGTCGCCTTCTCTTCCGCTCGACAATGACCTCTTCGCGCCTGTTCCCAGCGTTGTTGTTTTGGAGTGAGTTGAAGAGCCAGATTAACAGAATCGTTCCGAAAAAGGTACCGATAATTGCGCCTGCAAGTGTGCCCCCGGAATACTGCCCAGAGCACGACGTCGTCGATTGTGTTACGATAGTTGTTGTTGCTTGACGAGCGACAAGAGCAGGCGTAACCGGAAGGAACTCAGAAGCCAGAGTCGCAAAAGGAGCCTGCGATTCTGTGAGTATAGAAATCTACCTTCATGGCCGGCAACCACATACCATAGTGTAGGCCTACGTCCTCCTGGACGAAACTCTTCAGAGCTGAAACGTTTGCGATGAAGGGAAACAGTGTTGGGCCGCTCTGTTGTCCGGCTGACGCTTGTTGCGATGGGCTAACCAAGGCCGCAACACCAAGCACTTCGCGGAGGATGGCCGGTTCGGGAATTAGGTACGCAGTTTCAAATAACGAGAGGCGCCGGTTAATGAGGGGTGAAACAGAGCAGCTTGTGTCGCATAGGGATGCGTTGGTCTGCGCAGCAACTAGAACATGATTTAAAAGAGTGATATGAAGTTCCAAGAAGCTGAGGGCCGAGCAATATTGACTGGTGGCTCCAATGCGACGCCGGATGAAAGATGCACGATCGCAGATAATCGAGAAGATGGGGTGACGTCAGGCACCCAAGGCCCAGTTAGCCCCCCGTAGCTGTCAACCTCTGCTGATCAGTTGGGAAGCATATCCCTTGGGGCCTATTTCTTGGTGGTTTTCCGCACGTAATCCGGGATATGCCTCGGCTAGTTGATCCTTAAGTTCGTGTCAAATCTACCTGGTAGCCTCACATGCAAACTCTCGGATGGGACCGGGTCTAATGACGTTCAGCAGATCTGAAGTGCCAGAGAACTTGCAACTACGAGTTACGAGCATGACTCTATGCTGAACAGATCGCCAAGCATAACCGTCAATGAATGCCATTTTGTGCATGAAGCGGTGCGATGCCCACTCGCTGGATCAGCCGGATCACAACGCCGGGTGGCTGGCGTGAAGCACCAGGAAGCATTTCCAACATGCTGCTCCACATGATTTCCCTGTACTTGTCGAATTGGGTTTGCGAAGATATCCAGTTGAACGCTTTCTGGCGGCAAAAGAAGGTCCGCGCACAATTCGATCTCATGAACCTTGTGGCTCGCGAGCAATACTCAAGCTCCAACGTTCGTTCGCAAACGGAGCTCACAGAATCTGACGACAAGCGCCTGACCCTGGGCTCGCTCGTCACCATCTGCGCGGATCTGCCCGAGCTTCCGCCCACACTCGTTCGGTCAGGAAGAAGTCCTGGTTATCACCTTGAATGCTGCCTGAGTTAAAAAGTCGCCGTACCGTAGACCGGAGCGAAATTGTTCCGCCCGAAGGCGTGACCTCCCTTCGAGTACGCCGTAATTAAAAAGCCAATCTTCACTCTTTTGGTAGGACCTTCTTAAGTCTGATATCATCGAAACTGTTGCGTCTCCCCCAGTTCTTCGGTTGTCGTTTGAGAAACGCCCCAACAGCCCCGAGGTAGCCTTCATGTCGGAGGAAGTACGCTTGCTTCTCACCTTTGGACCAGAACTTGATGGCGTAAGAGAGCGTGTTCATGGTTTGGGTATGGCCCCGAATGAAAGACCCTCCGAAGTATATATGCCGAAGGTTGTGCTTCTCGGATTGCAGGTACGCAATCTGACCAATGTTGTTCGAGATGGCGTACAGCAGGCTTCTGGCCATGTCTTCGATCTTAAAGTGCCCTTGCATCTCCTGGTCATCGCTGAGATCATCGCCGTTGAATAGCCCTTCGCCGTCCTCGGCATGCCTCTCTGCCAGTCGTTTCATCCGAAACACCTTGCCGAAGGTGCTGGCAATTGTGGTGCTTTTGAGCCCAATCTTGCTATAACCACCGCCGTAAATGTCGCCAACAAGCATATCGACACCGGCATTGTCGCCCTTCTCCGCGAGTCGGAGCATCTCGTCAAATGTACGGGCTCCGGTTAGCAGCGAAAGGATGCCCCAGAACGTGCCCCCTCCTAACGACGTGCCACCCACACGCTGAAATTCACGAGGTCCAGATACCTTGACCATTGACACGCCGGATCCGATGTTCACCAGGAGATATGGGTAGATGTCAGCGCGTGCCTCTGCGAACTGCATCGGTTCTTCCTCGCTGTATGTAAAGACCTCGCGTGGGATTTCCGTGATGAAGAAGTCTAGTCCTGCTGAACATCAGTCACGCATTACTGGCTGTATCCTTCGGCTTACCGATGATCAGGCACTCCATCTCGTCTTCTTGAACCACGTCCACATGCAGTACCTCCTTCATCCGATTGTAGAACTTGTATGCTCCGCCTCCAGTTGCCATCACACATAACTCTTGCGGGGTGGAGCCATTGAGCTTCAACTGCGTTTTCTTCAGCTCTTGAATGAAGTCAATGCAGAGGTCGATCCGGTCCGTCTCGAAGTTCAGGAAGTTCAAGCGTCCACCGCCATGCATCGAACCAGTTTCACGCGAGAAGTAGACCAGCTTGGCCAGAGAGCCGCCAATCTAGTCTCCAGTCAGTGCAGGCTCTCAATGGTTGGGAAGGGGGACTAGCATCGTACATCCACGGCAACATGGCTCACCACGTCAGTGTGATGTGGCAGACGAATATCCTTGTGTTCCCAATGTACATGTTCATTTGCTGTACCATTCTTAGCATTCATCTCGTCGTCGACAATAAACGCGCCCTCGACGTTGATCTTGACCGACGCTGGGTTGGGAGGGGCACGTGGTGGCCGGGTGGCCGCGTCGTCCTCTACAATTGCAAAAGACTCTCGCTTGTCATCTTCGTTCGTCACCGGCGCTTCTGGGACCGGCATCGTAGAAATAAAGTACCAGGATCGGCATCCAGCCCATGGAACCAGACCTCTAACGGGCGTCGTGTGACTTTCGGCGACGTAGGAGACTTGCCTGCGATTATCGGCTACCGATCAGGCTGGGGAATATGACAATATGTGCTTGATCATCTCCCGATCCGGTCGCCGAGGCCACACGAGACAATATGTACAAGATGATGTACGGAGGGAGTTGTCGCCCTGAAAGAAACTCCAGGACGGTTACGGGCCTCGGTCGAGAAATTTATCTGTCGGTCCAATTGCTTCAAGGCGGTTTTATCGAGGGTGAACCCCACGCTCATGTTTGTTTCCCCCGCAGGCGACAGTAGCTAATTACTGTAAAGAGGACGCCGAAAAGAAGCCGCTGCAATCTTTTATTGCCTCTCTCATTGGTGCGCCCAGCCGTGACATATTCCTACTGTAACCGCGGGCCGGAGTGAATGTCTGCTCACAGTTACAACGAAGCCGTCCATCAGAGCGCGTTACCACAGTGCTACCGCCCTTTCGCCAATTCCCGTTGGAACTGTGGACCTGCCCATTCTGAAAAATGAGCTCAAAGCCCCGAGAGCACCAAACTCGAGCATTCTGCACAACAAACGGCGGTTCCAGCATGCCCCCCCTTCCCAACCAACTCATTCTAGGAGCACCAGGCACTATCAATGCCCTGCTACTTGGTCTGGTGACCCAGGGAGACATTGGTTAAGATTTGGCTCTCAGCAGCAGGTTTGACTGTACGACCGGACCATGAAGAGGCCGAGTAATATCCACAGAGCGAACCAAGTCGACGGCAGGATACTCAAAGCTGAGGCGTGCGAAGTGGCCGGAGCGGTTGGAATCGTTGTGGCAGTATCCGCAACGACGTCTTGTGCACATTGCCCTGGTGTCCTGCCCTGAAGGCTTATCAGAGTTGAAGGTGAGCCTTAGGGCCATTGACTTACTCGTTCACAGCAACGATTTTGCGCAACGCCTGTGCCACAGACGAAACCTCCTGAGCAAATCCCTGAGAAATCAGTATCACATCTGGAACAAATGCCCAGTCAACAGCTTACCACTCCCGTCTTCACAGCAGCTGTCGCCGGCTGTAGCATTGAAACAGTATGCACCGTTGAAGAAGTCGCAGAGCCTTGCCCCAGCCAGACAGTATGGTAAGGGAAATGGATGCGGCCCCCGTCTCTCGTGAATGGGTATTGGTCTGCCTGTTGGAGTGAGCGCAACAGCGGAGACGCAGAGAGATAAAGCAACAGCGAGGGTGGTGGTCCTCATATCTGGTAGACGTTGGAAGCGGTGCGAGGTACGAGTTCTTGAACTGCGAAGAACGTCCGCTGTTGACCCAAGGCTTTTACCAAGTCATAACAGACAGCAAAAGATGCGTCGGCGTAGCTCACTCAGACAACTGGAGACATTTTTGATTACATTGAATCTGCTCGGCTCGAAAGCAGCAGATTGGCCTGGAACAGGACACAAATGTAAAGTGAGTCAATCCGAATACTGCTGGTCAAGATCGTAATCATTACATCGGGGGCTTGTTCTTGGTGCTCAACCTGCGAAAATCCTAGCGTTCATGTGGCAGTCCAGCCCGTCAGAGACGCTCTCAGATCTCTTGCGCACGGAAAGCTATCTTTATCTTTTCCGTTCGAGTTAAAACACGTCCATCTGGCTGTAACGTCCAACTCCTTGGGTTACTGGCGGAAAGAGAGCAACCTTTATAGCATCCTACGTAGTCTATGTCCTGTCCGACAGAGCCAGGGAGATGTCCGTTTTGATTCAACTCTGACAGGTTTCGCATGCTTCTTGGGCAAGATCACCAGGATCCAAATCATGCGCAAGGGCGTCCCACCAAGGATCAAGGGTTGGTGCATTCCCATGTGCAAGGCGACGATGTAGGATATAACGTTCTGAAACCCGCCGCCTCCGCGCGCGACATTCATCTTGCCACCAGCTAGGACGATCCCGTCATAAAAGATGGTAGCTGGGACTCCGGAGTTACATGCCATCAACACCAGCAATATCGATTATCGCCTTTAGGGTTGTTCAACATGCTGTACTCCGTATTCAGCGAGCTATTCACAGAGTGTGGGATGCGACTGGTATTCAATCACCTGCCGGATTTGGCATTTTATTGGCTGGGGAACTGTTTGTTCATTGCCTGGCCTACGATCCACCCATGCGACGACGACGCGATCACAGGTTCCGTAACCCACCTCGCCTCATTGACGAGATTCAGATGTCTAAGGCATGGAACAGACAAGCACTCCATCGGCACATAGGCTCTCCACAAGCTCTGGCACTGTCGGGCGGACACACCAGTAATGGTTACCGCGTCTTGACGAAGTGTTCTCACAAGTTGACAGGGGATCGACGCCAGAAAACTCAGAGCCGCCGCGACCAAAGCGTTGTCGCCTTCCTTGTTCACTGCACTCTCAGAGCGATACAAGGCTGTGCAACCACCTGGCACGGGTCCGGCCGCTGCGCCTAATCATACACTATGAGGCTGATCAGGACTCGGATGCCGGGCAGAACCTGCATGTTCAGCGCTCCTCATCGTTGTACTTTGTAGTCTGTTGCAGGCATACATTCGGTGTGGACAACTAAAGAATGCATCGCAGTCGACGTCTGATCCAACAGGTCCAGCCAAGCCGGGGACGTTCAGTTCTGGTGTCCAGAAATGTGAGTCAAGATGAGGGATACGTTCAGAACAGCGGCAAGGCGTTGGAAACTGAAGACACAAGAGACTTTGGCGAGGATATCTTGAGCTCACAATCGCTCTGGTGTTGGTTGTGGGCGGTTATCCTGTATGCTGATGACAGATGATCGAGTTTGCCACGACGAATGAATGTGCGGGCATGCACAGTCTCAGAATACTCTGCCAGTGAAGAAGACGGACAAAGTATTGAGATGAATACCAGAAATGTAAAGAGGAGTCTCAACAGATCGAAGCAGATGCGAGTTCTCACCACGGCATGTTGGCTCATTGTGCCTTAGTCCAGCCTCCGGCCAAAGCACTACGACGTCGAATTCCTTGTACCCATCGGAGACAGCAAGCGCGGATAGTTGAGAAGTAATTTTACAAATCTACTCGTATGTGAGCGGCAGGCGGGGAAAAAGCGGCCGGACTGGAAGTTCCTAAAGGGATGTAAAGGATCAAGTAAAAACGTCGTGAATTGTCGAGCGGCTTGCCAAGATGTGGAGAGGATCGGCACGGTTTGATTCGTGACCGATGTTCTGGGGAACCGTCGCAGACGCTCCCACTTGAACCACGCTGAAAATTGAATCTGGCTGATTCAGTCACCAACAACACCGTTGCCTGCGATGTCGAGAACCAAGAACAAGAAACCCGGTCTCAAGGCCCAGTTGAAGCGGAAGCGCGAGGTGGAGGAATCTGGCGACGTCGATGACAAGCCTTCGAAACGCCCTCTCCTAGAAGCGAATCGGGCGAAACGCTCTCAACCAATTCAGCAACTTGCAGAACAGCCTTCCTCTGAAGCAGAACCTACACATCAGCCTGCACACAACAGCGAGACTGCGAAACAAACTCACAAGTCTGCGAGCGCGAAAGCAACCAAGTCCCCGCGAGAACATCCTTCGGCACAGGACGCTGTCGGCGATCCGGCTCTGCTTGCCGACCGCTTTGCGAAATACATTCAGAAGTACTGCCCAAATAGCAGTCCTATCGAGTTAGAAGAACAATACCTGCCAACAAAAGCCTTTCTCGACACGACCGTTTACGATAGGAACCGTGTCGCTGCCAACCTCCCGCATTTCATCGAGCGCTTCTCACCCGAAGGCAAGACTGGCCTGTCAACCTGCGATGACAAAGCTTCGCCTCATACACTGGTCGTTACATCCTCTGGTATCCGCTCGGCAGACCTTTATCGAGAACTTCGAGTCTTCCAGAACGAGGAGACCAAAGTCGGGAAGTTGATTGCGAAACACATGAAACTGCGGGACAACATCAAATATATGCTGGGAAACAAGATTGGCATCGCTATTTCAACCCCGTTCCGATTCAAGCAGTTGGTGGATGCAGATGCTCTGAAGACTGGAAAGCTGCGCCGCATCGTGGTTGACGGTTCATATTGCGACGAGAAGAACAACACGATTTTCATGATGGCCCAGACGTTTAACCCGCTGGTAACCTTACTCAACGAGAAAAGCATCCGCCAGCGATACGGTGAAGGGAAAGACAACATCGAAATTCTGGTGTTCTAAGAACGAAAGCATGCCATCTCAAAACGTTGAGTGAGCACTCCAAGATGCTACTGCCCTCGGTCATACTTTTTTCTCTGGCTGTGGCACTTGAAACACTTGCGTCAGGAACAGGCTTGTTAAGCGAAACTCCCGGGCCTTTAGCGGACCAATTGAGCGCTGGTTTAGTGGGCTAGTGCCAGGGTTAATGTTTCGAATCAGACTGTTGGCTCGTGGGCGCTTTCTCCGCACTGACGCTGGACCCAGCCACATGGGGTGTGGCCCGTATTTGAGCATGGTGAGTGGTTGTTCCTGCCAAAGTCAGAAAAATCCACAACTTTCCGACTGCGATATTGTGCTTGGTTGAGTTCAGTGTCGCTGCCAATTCCACATCATTGTTCTACACCTACCTCAACCTTCCTGTCAGTCCTTGCGCCCTTGATGAGCGAGCTGCTGAGTCACATTGAGCTCAGTGCCTCCAACGCTGCAATCGGATTACTGCGCGACGGAAACCTGCCAACGCTTCACATTTCTAGATCGACTCCCCTTGTACGACTCTCCTGACCAACTAGCTACAGTCAAGATGAGCTACCAATCCTACCTGAAGTCCACGGCGACCTTTACGAACAAGACTCCCTCGCCGGGCTCTATCCACCGGAAACCTCCTCCAGCCTCAGCCCCGTCCATCACGCCTTCGGGCTCATCAATCCGGAGCAGTGTCACCAGAAATGATACCCCAACTTCCACCGTCCCCGTTCCCTTTACGCCTGCATCATCCACCAGTTCTCCTGCAAGACCGGCGGCCTCCACACCACTTCCATCGGTGGTCTCGAGCGCTGCACACCAGGATAGTGCTCGTACACCATTGACGAAGGAGCAGATCGATGCTGCAGTGAGGATATGTTTGGATCTACAGAACACTGCCACAAGCTTACACGACAAACGGCCATTTGCAGCCTTACTTCTTGGGTCTGACAACAGCACTATTCTTCTCTCCCACTACTCCATCTCCCACGTCCAGCACGCAGAGACTGAACTTGCTCGGCTGGCCGCCATCCACTTCTCCCAAAAATATCTCGCCTCCTGCACCTTGGTGTCAACATGGGAGCCATGTGCAATGTGTACAGGGACAATATACTGGAGCAACATTGGACGCCTGGTGTATGCTGCCGGCGAGGAAAAGCTCAAAGGCTTAACCGGCGGAAACAATGAGGAGAACATGACAATGTCGCTGCCGTGCCGGGAGGTGCTGAAGCACGGTCAGAAGGATGTGGAGGTGATCGGACCTATAAGCGGCTGGGAGGAGACCGTTATTGAAGAGAGTGGAAAATGGTGGAAGGAGCAGGCCCGAGAGAACGCTGGAAGGGTGAGAGGAGGTAGCGTGAATGGAACCGACAAGCCAGGAAGCCTGTCAAGTGTGCGACACGGGACTCCAACCACGTGGACTGGGGAAGAGACGGTTCTCAGCAGTATTGATGACGAAGGGGAGTACAAGGCGGAGCTTGATATTGACTGGATGAGGTAGGTCGGTACTAAGTCTGCTCTGACACGTTGATGCTTGCTCGAGTTCCAGCGGTTGTTCGCATGATATGGCACCGGGAAAGAAGAAAGCGGTCGGGGGAGAGGTAGCAAGATTCATATCAAGAATCTCTGCATGAGTAACCTCCGCGATTGTACAGAGGCATGGACATCATAAGCCGTTATCAGTCATTGTTGCAATCCTGGAGCGGACGACGCTTCCACCAAAAATCTCTTCTTGTCCTTCTTGAGCTTTCTGCGCCAACCATTGACATCTTTCCCACTTTCGACATCTCGAAGCGCCTCCATCTTCGCCTCGGCCACATCCTTCAATGTCCGGCCTTTGAGAACGCGTGTTTCCACATTGACTCCTTCTTCAGTCCACTCCACCAATTTGCTCCCCACATAAGCTTCAATTGCGAGGATCAGCTCGACGTCGCGCTGTCCAACAAAGGTAATACTTGTACCTTGTCTTCCTGCTCTTGCCGTACGACCGACCCGATGTACATAGTCGGTCGGGTTTCGTGGGACGTCAAAGTTGATCACCAAGTTGACTTCAGGAATATCCAAACCTCTTGACGCCACATCCGTTGCGATCAAAATGCGCGCTCTTTGCGAGCGGAAGTCGGACAGATTTCTGTTTCGCTGGCTCTGTGCTAGCTCAGAGTGAAGCGCCGTGACTGGATGGTCGAGCTGAAGGAGTGTGCGGTGGAGGAGATCTGCGGTCTTTGTACGATTGACGAAGATCATAATACTGGGCTCCGGCGATTTCGTAAAGGAAGGAACTTGAAGGAGGACGTGTAGGAAAGCATCCTTGTGGGTCATGGGGATTTGTAGATATGTCTGTGAGAGAGTTGCTGGGATGAGGCTGGCCCGGAGAGCGCCATCAGATAGGTCCGTGGTTTCGGAGATGAAGATAGGAGGCCGTCCCTTGGGGCGAGGAAGATCTTTTAGCGCCCGGACTTCTGGTGTCACCGTCGCGGTGAAGAGGAGCGTCAGTCGGGATGAAGACGGAGGAAGCGCACCCAGGCAGGTGTTAAGATCCGGAAGCATCGAGCCATGCCCCGCAGCGAGAAGGCGATCTGCTTCGTCAAGGACGACAACTTTGGTGCGACTCAGTCCGATTGTGGTCTCTTTGCCGGAGTTGAGTATGTGGTCCGCAAGTCTTCCGGGGGTAGCTACCACGATATGTGGTCGTTTTGCCAGCGCCAAAGCTTGAGGTCTCATATCACTCCCTCCGGTGATTAGAACCGTCTTGAGATTCTGTGGTGCTCCCAAAGCCTGAAACTGCTCAAAAATTTGGAGAGCCAGTTCTCGCGTTGGTGTGAGAACCACAGCATAGATGCCAAAAGGATCTTCTGCCCATTTCTGCAATATTGGCACCGCGAACGCAACTGTCTTGCCTGTGCCAGTCCTCGAACCTCCTATGCAGTCTCTTCCCTTTAATATCTCAGGTATACAAGCCTTCTGGATTTCCGTCGGGTTTTGAATTGCCATCGCGGCAAGAGATTGGACAAGCCACGGCGCTACATTGAGCGATTTGAAGGTGGCGGAGGTCGTTGGAATTTCTGGGTGGGCCGCTGGCGTGCGGACGACCTTGGGTGCATGATCTATCTTTTTCACTCTGGAGAGCGATGTCTGGGGTACTGTCGCATTGTCCTGTTCTGTGGATATTCGCCTGCGTTTCGGCGGGGGGTAGGAAAATGCACCGTCGTCGGACAGGCCTTCACTGTAGTTATCCGACCGAGATCCCAGCTCATCCTCGTCAACAAGCCTGGAAGGTGCCATGGTGGCAAGTTGGTCGTCCGGCGAGGACGGAGTACAAAATGTTTGTCGGAGAAACATTTTCTGGACCATCAAAGTGACAAGCCACGCAAAGCGGAGGGGTGTAAGTTTCTCCACTCCAGGAGTCTGGAGCGGCCTTGGCATCTCGAAATCCATCCACAACTTCTTTCCACGTTTGGAGGGTTGCCTCTTCAACATCACAGAATTCTTCTTCGTAGATCCTTATCGCGTCCAGCGGTCGCGTGGAAGGTATTCCAGAACAAGAGACCCTTGCTCACTGATAGAGTTCCCCGGGGACATCCGACGACAACCGAGAAACCTCTTGCGAGAAGCACGAGTGGCTGTTCGACTATCGTCTGGTCCTACCCAAAGCTCCTGATGCGATCTTGATTCAGGCCATTGCTTTCGTGTCAACAATGGCTGATATGTACTATCACCACACGCTCTGACGAATTGAGAATGCGACTTGAATACCGGACAACCTGAATTTCTTGCATTCTTCAACGACACAAGCGACCATACCTGAGGTCTTCTGAGGCTCACAATGCGGCATGTCGTGCTCTGGAGCAGAATAGGTTCTGTAAAAGCCATCTTTAGGCCGTAACTTCCGCTGGCGGTATCCCGCTCAAGCCAGGGGTATGAGGCGATTACAATATAGGTGAGTTGGACAATCCACAGAAGCTGCACTTATCCGGGATGAAGGATTCTAGTCCATGCAATCCTCCATCCTACGACGCTGTTCAACCCGGGCTTAGGAGCAGCTCGGCATCACTGCTCGAATTCAAGCAACGTACCCAACAGCCAAGTCATTCCGCGTGACGAGCTCTCAACCTAACTCCAATCTCTGCCTCGCCAAGTGACTGGCAGGTTGCGGTGGTCTCAAAAATGTCACAGTACTTCCAACAAGTGCCACCAAGGATTGCGGGGCCTCGTTCTATTCTTGTGGTTGTGACTTTTGAAATCGGGATGTCCGCCTGGTGCCCAAGTCTCCGACAGAGTTCTGTAAGTAATAGGACAACCGCCGGAGCCCGACACAACACGATACGCTGCATTTCGTGGGCGGCAATGGGTCAGTGACAGCATGCTCTCCACGGCTCATCCACCTCAATAACTAGAATATCGTCCGTTTTCTGCAAAGTTTCCCAACGTTGCTGGAGGAATCTTGGCCGCTTTTTCCCATGCCCGAGTTGGATTGCTGTACGCGATTTTCGATGCCGGTCAGTCCTGCACGGTGAAGAAGGCGGTACTCCAGTCTGGAGAGAATTGAGAACCACCTTCCCACTTGCTACGAAGCTAAGACTCATGCTTGGTACAAGCCCTGCTATGTTGTGAGCTACGTGTGTCATACTAGGAAAATAGTCTGGGGGTGCTCCTTCGACGAGCCTGCTTCAGAGCTATTGGCCAGAACACAGCAAATTGGGCAGTGGTGAGGCCCAGACTTGGTAACTGCGGTACGTTGTCTCGAGGCAGACTCATCAGTGCACACTATACCGAGGCCTGACTAGCCGCCGCACACTTACCTTGACAGCGCTGCCCTGCGCTTCGACAAGATGGTCGTGAGCTAGACTAGGCTCCGGAGGACTAGTTCACTGTTCAAGAATTGCATGCTCGTATCGTAAGATTCGTTACGGAGCTTGTGGTCCAAGTTTCGGGTTCCTTGATCAAATGCATCCGGCAAATTTTCGGCAGCAGGCAGAAGCATTTCTGAACCACGCTTGATCTGAGACTTCGACAAATCACGATGTCTCAGCAACCTGGTTGTCGATCGGGAAGACGCGATACGGGTGCTCCTCTGCCTGCATATGCACTCGTGCTGGTGTATGCTTGCTTCGATTCTGGTAATCACAGCCCACGAAAAGCGCGTGGTCCGACAAGGTTGGGCTTCTTGCGGATCCGCACATCCGCCCGTGCTCGGTTTGAGGCCTACCGCGAGTCCACACATTTGACAACTACCTCTGGAGCACAGGGCAGTGCCTGCTAGGGCCACAGACTCTTTTGACCATACATACGACCGGAGATCGCATCTCGCCTATCCCCATTTCGGAATCAGTTTACCTTCTCCAACTAAATTGAAGCCTTTTCTGCTCTCAATTCTAGAAACCTCGCATGGAATTTACCTGTATAGATCTCGTGGCAGGGCCGTTCCACGATGGGGAAAGAGAAGGCTCCTGCTCGCAGACCACCAGCAGGAGCAATACCGAGGCGACCCACAAATCCAATCATCCAGACTGACAACCTTCCCGCTACCAATGAGCCTGATTCACCGCTGCCCGAGGCACTACTCGATGACACCACCGACATTTTGGATGATGGACGCGTCTCTCTCAACCTTGATTCCAAGCTCGCTCAAGTCTTCGCTCAGCTAATCCAGATGAATGATGAAGAGCCTCCACCCTCGCCGCCCCCCGCCTATACCGACGTCCCAGACCTTGAATCATGGGGACTACCACTTAACATTGTGATTCAGGTCGTTGGAAGCAAAGGTGACGTCCAGCCTTTTCTCGCTTTAGGGACAGAATTGCAGAAGTACGGTCACACGGTACGCCTGGCGACTCACAGCGTCTTCAAAGAGTTCGTGGAGAGTGCAGGCCTGGGCTTCTACTCTATTGGGGGAGATCCGGCTCAATTGATGGCTGTAAGTGATGTCTTGTGGCTTTTCAGGATGACCGCTGACAAGGGTATAGTACATGGTGAAGAATCCCGGGCTGCTTCCTCGGATTGAAGCACTTCGACAAGGAGGTTTTAGCAAGAACAAAGCAATGATTCGCGAGATACTCGATGGATGCTGGGCTTCCTGTATCTCGCCCTCTGAAGACGGAGCGCCCTTTGTCGCTAACGCGATCATTGCCAATCCTCCATCGTTTGCCCACGTGCACTGCGCCCAGGCACTGGGCATACCTCTCCATATCATGTGCAACATGCCATGGACCCCGACTCGGGCGTTCCCTCACCCCTTGGCTAATATCAGCACCAAAAGCACTGACCCGAAATTGGCAAACTATATCTCGTACGGCATGATTCAATTGTTGACGTGGAATGGGTACGGGAATTTTCACTTCATGAAGCCGGTAGACTCACCACTTCTTGCAGGATCGGAGATATCGTGCAGAAATGGAGGGCTACACTCGATCTGGAGCCATTGCCACTGTCGGAAGCTCCGTTTCTGATGGAGACTTTGCAGATTCCTTGCACATACTGCTGCTCCCCAGCACTTGTGCCGAAGCCTCGAGACTGGGCCAAACATATTGGTGTGTATGTCTTTGCCCTGCCATGAAGGCCTCTAACCGCACGGTAGATGTCTGTGGCTTCCTGCTTCGGGACCCACCACACTATGATCCGGCACCGGAGCTTGAAGCGTTTCTGGAAGCTGAGCCGCCGCCCATCTATATCGGTTTCGGCAGCAATGCTGTTGATATCTCGGACGGTTTCGTTATCGCAGTGCTCAATGCCATCAAGGAATGTGGTCTACGTGCTATCATCTCAAAAATTTCGGGCCGTCTGGCAAGGATAGAGTATGACGAAGATATCTTCTGGCTAGATGACTGCCCACACGGTAAGCTGTTAATCATTCGCAGACTCTGCACAATCATTGACAGAGGCTTCAGAATGGCTCTTCCAGAGAGTTTCTGTCGTGGTACATCATGGAGGCTCTGCAACCACAGCTTGCGGCTTGCTGAACGCTCGGCCCACGATCATTGTCCCATTCTTCGGAGAGTGAGTCACCCCATAATAGGGTTGCGCAGGATTACTGAACAATAATAGTCAAGCTTTCTGGGGCAACATGGTGGCTCGCAATGGTGTAGGGCCTCGGCCAATCCCTTACCGTCGTCTTACCACCAGGAAGCTCTCAGAAGCGCTCCAATATTGCATGAGCTCGGCAGCGAAAGAAGCCGCCGCATTCATCGCAGCGAAGATGCAAGCAGAGCTTGGAGTGAAAGCCGCCGTCCAGTCATTTCATCGTCATCTGCCCGCCGACTTTATGGGATGCGACCTGATTGTAGACCTTCCAGCTACTTGGATCTACACGAAATCAAGGACGGACATAAAAATTTCCGGTGCTGCTGCGGAGATACTGATCCAGTCCCGGAGAATCAAGGCCGAGGATCTACAACTCTACAAGTCCAAACCCATTATCATCGAAAACCGCCGCTGGGACTTTCTCACTAGCTCTCTCTCCGTATCCATGGGAGTGTCTTACGATATTATTGCTTCATTGAGCGGCTTCTGGAGGAATCCACAGCGATTTCGAGAGCGGCAAGACAAACAGCGGGCTCTTGCTCGAGGTTCGTCACAGGCGTCGAGCTCAAGGCTGGATGGAGAGGAAGAAAAGAGCTCAGGAAAAGACATAGCAAAAATGGTTGGTGCCTCTGCGATGAGCATTCCGCACTTTACCGGCGTCGCAGTGAAAGGGTTTGTTGTTGACTTGCCCGTCGCTGTGGCCGAAGGATTCAGGAACACGCCAAAGCTATACGGCGAGAATGTGCCTAGCCATGCACCTGTGACAGATTGGAAGAGTGGCTTCACAGTTGCTGGGAAGACATTCGCACACCAGATGGCAGAAGGACTCACAGATCTCCTCGTTCAGCCAGTCAAAGGCGCAGCCAGGGGAGGGGTTGTCGGCTTTAGTAAAGGCATTGGCAAAGGTGCTTTACAGACACTTACGAAGCCCACTGCAGGTAAGTTTCCCCTCGTATGATCGCTGAACGGGACTCACCTTCGAATCAAGCTTGCATGGGCCTGGTTGGCTACACAGGTCAAGGAATCTACAAGTCTCTATATGCAGCAGTCCACTCGCAAACCAAGAACTCGGTTGCATCTGCTCGCCGTGTACAAGACAAATACTTCATTCGAGCGAATGGCGCAGAGATTGCCGCCGCCCTGGTCGTAGAGAGGTTTGATAGGGCTTGTCAGCTGAACAAGAAGACCGGACCGCTAAGCTTACAGCCCAGCACCGCTTCAATTACACTATCAAGAACAACGACCAGCGCTTCCAACCGGACGGAGCCATCATCACAGATTACCCAAAATGAAGCACCAATGTATCAGGAACGTGATCGTCGATATTAGCCGAACCACATGTTAGAACAGAGCACTTTCTATGGTGGATGGAGCAGCTACATCTAGGAGATGGCACAGTTGTCGGTTGTGCTGCCGTGGCTCCCAGCGAAGTTTGTAGGTCTTTGGTACCGCCAGAATGGCCACAACCTCAGACACGCTTATTAAAGTTGCTTTCGGACTGTCTTACTCACCAACGAGGGACTTCCTGATATCAGCAACAGGCCATGACCTCAGACGGCGAATGGCCCGAACAACCCCGGGTCACTAATCTTGAGACCCCTGGGCGTCTGCTTGATCTGCTTGGATTGTATGATCATGACGAGCTCAAGACAGCTCGTTTCCATATCGGTGGCTGATCTCAAGAGTATCCGGGTTGCTTGGCCAGGCAGAAGACAGCCTTTTCAAGGCAGGGCAAATTTCCCCCACTGCTGTCGTTGTGGGCAATGGCTGACCTATGGTGGAAGCTTACGCACATTCCAACCCGTCAGATGAGAATGCTTTGAAGTCTCTCGAGCTCTCCGTGGCGAAAGGATTGACCTGTACTATTCTCCATGGCCTTAACAGAAGCACATTCGAGAAGTCGCTCCGAGCGTGAACAACCTGCTCAAGGAGGGGTACAATGGCTGGATCTAAAGTGTGTACAGCTGCTATCCATTGGATCATTGAGCTCGATTTCTTCCTTCGTCTGCGCTACTACGGAACCAGCTTCTGAGTACGATTCTTTTGCGATTGGGAAAACGTCGAACAGGTACCGATACGGAACGCAAAATGAAGCGATTGACGAGGCTCGCGTCACAATCCGAACACCATCCAAGGTCGCGGACACAAGCACATCTACTGGCACGACGGCGAGTTCGACGCGGTGGAGCTCCTTGGAACTACGGAAGAACAGCACAAGTCGACCAAGCAGAATGTACTTTGGAATGCGTCACATGACTTGATGCTAAAGAGCGAGAACCGTGACACTGTCATTATCAGAGCGGGCAACCCGAAACAGCTCGAGGTATTAATACTTGGACAAGCTAGGAAAGCGGCCACTTCCAGGTCTTATCACCGTTGCCTTCAGACGTATCTGGTCTTTCCAAACGCCGGAATAGAAAGGTTCTCTCGACCCGCTTACACTCTGGATCTGTGGCGAACGCTTGATGGGTTCTGGCGCAGTAAGGCTGTTGCGGCACAAGTTTTGTGGGAGACTCGGAGCTGTTACTGTGGTACGGCGTGGATCTGGGGCCGCCCCAACGCCAAGCTGTATTCCCCAGTTCCAGTTACCCCACAAGAGCCACAACAGCTTAAGTCGACGCGTCACAATGGAAAGAATCAGATGTCTGGACTTGCAATGCATTCCGAAGCGTATATGAAAGCGCTGAGAATGGGGGCTTTTCCTCACGTTTCCCTCGCTTCCCTGCCGTTGGGAGCAACCACTGTCGGAATTGGCTCATCGCGTGGACGGGCTTTGAGCCACCCAAGGTCCTGCTAACCAACTAGAGTCGCCCTCTGCTCGCGTCGATGGCTTGAAGCCTACCGCGACGACCCTTCCTGCTGGCTTCCCGAAGGAGCCCTGCTCACCGAGCGTTTCGTGCGACCACAATCTCTGAGAGAGACATTGAGTTGTTTTACGCGACCGTACGACCATCCGCGCCGATGCCAGCCGCCCTGCCGAGACTGAAACCCGGTGTCTGCGTGGTGGGCCTCCATAGCAACATTGGAACAAATGAGATGATGTTTGCAGCCGGAGCTCGCGCATCCTAATGTTGCCCGCGGGGGGTACTTCACGTCAGGTATCTTTCTGGGCTGTGTTGGCGGATTGCAGCACAGGCTATCAGGACTTCAAAGCTCCTAAGCACAGATTCAGCTGAATGGACAGCTCGAGGATACGCAACCGTGAACATCAACTCGGGGGCGTTTGACTCTTAGGAAACAGCGGGTCGGTCGTCGCCGCGTTGTGTCTCAAGGCCTATGTCACTACCTTGTCAGATGGATTGGCTCCGGCGAAGGTCCGATGGGTATGATGCCATGGATCATCCTAGCAACAGTCTCGTGGTGCAGTGGACGGTTGGAAGCTCCTGGCTCGCAATGGCTCGATGGCACATAGGGATAGAGACCCTACGCATCTGAACTGCATTGCTCTGTTGAAAGGGTGCAACGACTTCTACCGAGAGACTTTGTGCAGGGATGCGTTCCTTACAAGCGTTCCTTGGGATTCTCGCACAATGTGGAAGCCTCGGTATGTATCTCTGTATGATGCTGTGTTCTTGCTGAGGTGAACAAGAACGCAACCAGCAAGAGGACGTCCTCGCAACGTTGGATAACTACCCTCTCGTAACGAGGGCTGGGAACACAGGAGAGTCAGGATCGCGCGAGCCAAGTTCCTGCCCATATCCTGGCCAGCTACTCGACAGGCTTGCATACCGTTGGCCTTTTCAGGAAGACACGAAGACATTGCAAGCAAAGGGGGATCGCAGGGTCCTCGGGAGCCTGTAACCTTCCTGCTGGCAGGGCTCGCTTCGGTTTCGAATGGACTCAACCCAAGAATGGCACGATCTTTGCGTACACGGAATGCGTCGAGGACCTCCAATTTGATGTCGACCGCGTTCTGAAGGGCAAAGACAACAGGTAGGAGAGAACGCCCTGGATCCGCGTCTCAACACTCTGGTACAACTAGTTTCCGTTGCCTCTCACACACTATAGGCTCCTGAGTAGTATCATGTACCAGACTGGCCAGTGCCGGATATCAAGTACCGAACTTTCTTACTATCCCAAGCCCAGTCGATCCTCCTTAACCCGACTGCTGCCTCTGCCACACTGTCGAAACAATCGGATTCTCCTGCACCGCAGATTGACAAGATGATGAGGAACTGGCCCTAACTACGCGTCTGCCCGCCGTAGCTGTCTCATTGGTTATCCGAAAAGCCTGCCCAACATGTCTTGCTCCAAGCGGGACGTTTCAGATGCTCCTGTGCAAATCCGCAAACCGAACTCAGACCGTAACATGCTACAGGACAGCAACACACGCTTCCAGGACTGGGGCTGCAGGCTCCGCAGGCTGTCAAAATCAACACAAACAAATACCTGATGTTGCTGCCGTTCTCCCTGCCTGTCATCGGTGCACCGACCAGCGCCCCTCAAAGGCTCGTTGGCTAGTCCATGGCCATGACCAAACAGAAAAGGTGGTCCCGGGTGAGGTTGTCAAACTGGAAACTAGATTCTGGCTGACTGGCATAGTACTGAGCAGGGATCGAACTAGATTGTGAAGGTTGCCAGATATGAACTGAGATTGGCTGAGCTCGAGTCGTTGCGGCGAGCATTCGCGACCGGAAACAGAGGCGGACATGTTGGTCACAGCGGAGGAATCATCCCAGTCATGTTATAGTAGCTTTGTCGCGTTGTGAGATGATAGGGAGAAATGCGACCACTGTTCAACTACATTCCTGCAAGCACTTGTATATAGACTGGCTGCACTCACCACTTCCCAGTCTATAACAGCTGGGCTAGTTGTTTTCCCAGGAAGATAAAGCGCCTTCGTCATACACTGAAAATGCCACTGGCCGCTGATTGTCTGGATGGATATATTGCACGCCTCATGGCCGTGGGCATCCGTGACATCTTTAGCGCGAATAACAGCAGACACTGGTTGCTCCACCAGGTTAAGATGGGGGAGCACGTATGTAATGAAAGCGGTTCACGAATCACAAGTGACAGCAGCCCCACGACCACCATCTACTGCGTAGTCCCGACGCCGATGCTCATGTTCGATAAGTATCGCTTGCATGCAGAGCACGAAGGCGTGGCTTCTCTACAACCACATACTCGCACAGTTATGGAACATCTCCTTCGAGAAAACAGCGCATGAACGGCAAGACTATATTTGCCTTGTTGTCTACCACGCTATCTAGTAGGTGACTACAACGCGTATCTGAAGCCTGGAACGCCTGCGATATGGGTGCCCGTCCGATCAGCCGTCTTGTTCCGTGTGTGATAGATGTACACCATGAACGACAAGGCCAAGACCATGTACGCTGTAAGCCCGATAGTCGTGTAGATCCCAGGCCCGTATGATGGAGCATCTTGACCTCTGAAGATGAGACTGCCAATGATGCCTCCGACCGCACCACAGGCGATCAGAATACCCGAAGACACTGCTCTTCCAGCCGAGTCGATAATATTGGATTGATTGAAAGCAAGAAGCGCCGGAGTGTTCGAGTGGACACCCATCGTGGCAAGGAAGATGCCAAGATACCGGACGTGATTCGAGAAGCCTTCTCGCATGACTGGCAACTTGTTAGCACCGGGAAATCAAAGGCAGACTGAGGTGCAACGTACTTGAGAATCCCGTGATCATAACGAGAGAATTGAAGATGCAGATGATTGCCCGTTTCTGGTACTTGTCTGACACGTAGGAAGTGATGCCGAGTAGCCCGAGAGCTGCGAAGAAAGGATAGCCTGAGCGCAAGCTTGCCTGTAGACCAGAATACCCCAAGCCCTGTCTCTACGTCAATAATGGATTGAGACTATAAGGGGATCACGTACCTTGATGATCGTTGGAGTAAAGAAGCCGACAGCGTTCGCGGTTCCGACGTTGAAGCAGTAGATCGTACCCTGCGCCCACAGGGTCCAATCCTTCGCGGTGTGGACAAAAGATGACCAGCCCACTTTTCCAGTCTTGTAGTCTCCTCGGTCCTTTTCGAGCTTGTTGTAGAGGTAGATTCTCTCATCTGGCTTGATCCATTTCGTGTGATCGGGAAACTTGGGAACAAAGAAAGGCGCGACGACACCGACAGCCATTGTTGCGCCACCTTCGATAGAGAAGATCCAGCGCCAGCCATTCATGTCCCGAAGACCACCCATTGATCCAAGCCCATAAGAGAGGATGCCAGCCAATCCAGAAGCCACGACGCCGATGCCGTAGGCGAAGGATATTCTCTTATGCAATTCTTTTCGGGAATACCAACAAGCGATAGTGAAAGTGATACCGGGGAGGATGCCACCTTCGAGCGTACCGAGAAGGAGGCGAAGGAAGGCTAGAATTCCCCAGTTGTGGACGAAGCCCATGCCGGTCAGGACAGCTCCCCATGCGACGGTGAGAAAAGGCAGCCACCATCGAGGCTCAACCTTGGTGAGGATCCAGTTGGACGGCACGTCGGAAAGAGCGTAGCCAGGGAAATAGATCATGAGGATAATGGAATACCTCTGAGTCCCCAGATTGAGGTCTTCTTGCATGCCAAGGACTTTGGCACTCCCGATGTTGATTCGGTCAAGGATAGAGATTGCATAGATGAGTCCAAGCATCGGCAAGACATGCGCGTCGACTTTCCACATGAAGCGACGGATCTCGGAGCGTGTCAAGGTAGATTCTTGATGTTTCTTCTCATCTTCAACGATCCGCTCCGTATGTGTCGCAACGACCTCCTCTTTGCCTGCGATGTTGACATTTCCTTCGACGTCGATGGGGTCCATGCTTGCGGTGGCTCCGTGAGGTGTCCCAGAGGCGCTGCGATGTTTCTCTCCCGCCAGCTCCAGGGGGCTGAAGCCTTTATCTGCAATTCATGTGGAGAGCACTGCATATCCATTTGCGGATGCCAGCCATCTCGACACAATGGACTCGCTTGTATCTGCCGTGCTTGGCGGCGTGGCAATGGCATTTCTCCAATACTTGGCCAGGAGCCTTTGATGCGATGTTTTGAGCCTCCATTGGCTCGATTTTAGGTGTTGTCCCATCACCCAGCCCATGGCGCTGAATGTCGAACTGTAGCCAAGCCGCTATCCAGACCGCTGGTATTTATATTAGCGAGATAGTGGGTGATAGGCGCGGTATCTCGGGGTAATGTGGAGAAAAGCTGGGGGATTTCTGAATTGGGAGGCAGCGGAGAGCATCGAAATTCCACAGTGGGGCGCGATGTCCAAACAAGTCCCTTTTGTAGCCCCATGGGAATTGGAAGGTGAATTGAGATGTGCGGAATTACTCCGTACAGTCTGCGGGTTTGACTTGGTTTCAAGGGACCGGACAGGGATTGAGTTCGTGTTCTGCGGCTGTAATACGAGGCCATGTGCAAACTAGCTGATGAACTCATCTTGTGTACATTGGACAGAGTGCCGTCCTTGGAGCTTCACTATCGCACCCAGATCTTCCGCCCTGGTGCTGCACCTGTTTCGATCCTGCTCCTCAGCACAACCAAGTCATCAATGGTCAAAGTCAACCCCATCAGTGGAGAGCCAGCCGGCTACAGTCCGCACCCGCAGCAACACAACTCGTTCAGTTCAAAGGGTGACGAAGCATCTTGATGGAGACCCTTTGGTGTGAAGCGGTTGAGGATGAGGACTTCGTGGAACGTGTTCGCATAATCCCAAGATTGAGGATTGGCCTGTTATGTGAGTCTTGATGCTCGGTTGAAGCGATGCTTTGAGGCAGGCCAGTTCGGATTCATCATGCCATTGATGTACTCTTAACGAGAAGTCGGACTTTGACAAGTAGAAGCGTGGAAGGTAGGTCGGCGTGTTGCAATCGAGAGAGTCGAAGATGGGAGGTGAAGGTCGGTTTGCAAGGGTGCAGAATGCGGGAGAGTGCGAAGAGGACACGTGATTACAGCGAACATCTGAAGGCGTGAAGATGCCAACTTCTACCAGGGAGCTCTGTGACCTGGAAGCATTTGGTGTATGGGGCGTCAGCGCACTGTGACAGCTTGTTTGCGGAGTGCAGCAATCGTATGTGCTTCTCCCAGACGTGCTCGATTTGGAAGATGGTGATGTAGGGGCTTGACCGCCGCCGTCTGCGGGCTGTAACAGAGCACTATGGAACGACGGAGCTGGTGTGTTGCTGGTAGGTTACAACAACACTGGCTGGAAGCTTGATCGCTCCTCGCATATGGCAGCGGAAGTACACGAAGTCAGGCCAGCGCAGTATCGGCAACAAGCGGCCAAGTGGAAGCGATATCAAGACTCACTGCGGCTGAAAGTTGAGATATATGCGATGAGTCGATAAGTGATTGACTACTTCGACCCAGAACACCCGCAGAAAACCGAGTGACATATGCCTGAACTCCAGATACTGACTGGGTCGACAATTCGGACATAACTTTGGCATTTGCAAGATGGATAGCGTTGGCGATGGTGATGTGAACGTCGACCGCCACAACCCACTTCTGAGAAGCTGATGAAGGGCTGACTGGCAGTTTCACTGACAGTTGAGATCTCCTTGAGCTTCAGGCAAGTGTCACTCATCCTTGTCTTTCTTCTCCTTGAATCACAAAAGCCCGCTCGTACTACCGTCACTCTACCTTATCGTTCGTCTTTTTCCCAAGACTTGACTTCATTCAGTTCTCATCTTTCTCTTCCAACGATCACCAAATGTCAACCATGACTCCAGTCGTCCAGCGCAGACCCTTGCAGTACGAGCTGAAGCTTCATGATACATTCGGTTCTCGTCCACTGTTCTGTTTCGAAGCTCGTGAGATTGTTGGCCTTCTCCCGCAGCGCTACACTTCCATCTCACCGTCAGTGGCGCGACGAGGTCTTTCGACCACGCCGCGGCCGCGAGACCTTGTCGTGATCGGCCACGCATCCAATGATGACTGGGTAAATCTCTCATGAACAACACGATACGGGGTCACTTACAGCGCTTGTAGCTCCGACTTCTGAACCTCGAGCCCAAGTTCAATGCTCCTTCCGAATTCCTGGTCTGTGACACAGTGGCAGATACATACCTTCTGGCAATGCAATCGTGGGGAGATGATCTCAGGGAGCGCCTTATGCCAGCAGGTGTAGGCTCTCTTGCGAGTCACTACCGCATAGAAGGCGTCGAAACCAAGGTCATCAAGGACAAGATAACTTTTGTCGGTGCCCATGTCGCTGTCCATGACGGTTTGGTCACAGCGAAGATCTTCCTGCGGCTTGTAAGTACGCATCTTCGCTGAGGTCGCAGCCACACTGAACCTGTACAGCTCTCCGACTCCCTCATTAGTACCACTCATTGGCCTTCATACGGCGATGTTGGCTTCCCTCGCGATGATGCTCGGCCGTTCGACCTCTCTCGCCCCCTGCCCGTCCTCCGGAACGGAGTTCTCCTCTTCCACGACAGTGAATTTCGGTCTGAGCCAGGACACAAATCGCGGCCTGGATTTGAAACATGTGTCCCTGAGATCGGCATATGCCTACTGGATCTTGACGAGGTCGCTGACATTCCTCCTGGGTCTGGATTTCGGAACTGGTACCCCTACATCAAATGCCACAACGTCTACACCACTACCATCACTTTCAACGGTAAATCTGTGCGATATCAGCCGGCATACGGTGCATTCTCAGGAATCGTTTCTCATGCCGTACCTGACAGGGCGACGATGATTTCAGTGATTGATCAAGTCGTCATGAATCATTGTCAGAGATCCCTTGAACCTGAAGCCAAACTTGCTCCATCCCCATCAACCCTTGCTCGCCCGCCTCCACCTCTTCCGTGGCCTGCTCGTCCATCTCAACTCGCGTCGACACCTGTTCCTGCGGCCCCGCCTCCACCTCCCTCAGTCCCGACCATCCCCAATAGAAGGGAATATCAGCTCATATTGGCCAACATGTGCCTCGACAACATCGCCAAGGGAGAAAGGTGCCGCCACTTTGCCGACTGCTTTGCCAGCGGAAAGAACTTTATTTGCCCTGAATTTCGTCGCGGCTGTCCACTCCCCTTCCGCCATCCTCGCACTTTCCACAGTCACCGAAAATGCAAGGCAAAACCTGATCAGAAATGCAATCGCGAAGACTGCGTGCGAACGATCAATGTCTACCACATCCTACCGAACTGCAAAGAGATGAATCTGCACGGGGACTGTGCCAAGGAAGAATGTGCAATGGGACATGATGCCGTCAATGTGCGGTTGAAGTACTTTGAAGAGAGGGTGGCGGCGGGAGATGCCAATTACAGATTGTACGCCTGTCCTCCCGAAAAGGCCGCAGCCGCAGTGCGCATGTAGATGCTCAGAAAACCAGGCAATTCAGACACGTCCTCTCTTCATGAAACCCAGTCTCCCTTCCGTCGTGCCACCTTTGCATATTTTCTGCCGTATCCCCCCCTAACACCAGGCCTTGCCCGCCGGCAGGAAACTCTGAAGCGGCTTCTCAACGAGGGACACGTAGAGAAGTACTCCCTTTCCAAATCTATTCAGCGTGCCAACATATCGTAGTGCCACAAAACGTCGATGCTGCAAACATTGTCCTTCTGCACCCTGTATACCGCACTTGCCTTCAGAGGAAGGGCTCCCCGTACCAAAGTTTTGACATCACCTACCTGTATGGGTGAGGTCATCCTCAAGTGAAAAGGTAGCCACCACCGACGAGCTTCATCTCTCATCCCTTCTCTCTCCTCTTCTCACTCTCACTTCACTCTTCTTTGTTTCACACTTCACACTGCAACACATCTCACACTTGTGATTCACAACTGCATCCCATCTCGCACTTCTCATTTGTTCACTGTCTTCTTCTCAAGATGTGGAATTTTCTTCCTTCTCTCCCGCGCTTAGGTTTCCTCGTTCCTTGGCCTGCGTCTTCGCCCGTCCTGGCACCGGGGTCTGTCGACCACGGTGGCCACGGACCCGAACCGACCAGCACTGCCGAGACTGTCACGACCAACTCACCTGAAACGCCTTCCCCCTCTGCTTCCGTTCCGATCGACCCTCAATTGTCAAAGAATACTACCTCCAAGCGTTCTGAGTCGTCCAAGAAGCCTTCCTCCAACCGCCCTCAATCATCCAAGCCCCATGCCGAGATACCGATGTCCACTGAGATGACAGGCTGGTCCGTCAACGACGTCAAAAGTACGTTATTATCACCCCTGATCTGAACTCTACTAACATGCTGCTAGAGTTCAAATTCTGTGCCGAGCATGCCCTCCGTCGCGTCAAACGTCGTGTCAAGAACCAGTACCCGACCCTCCACGCACTCCAACACGATGTCGACGTTCTCCTCCAAAATTGCAATCAAAGATGGAATTGGCCAATCATGGGCACCAAAAGTCGCTCACAGATCAAACGACTCGTCTGCCGTGCCGTTGCCCGAGACCTTCATCACCACCATGGCGTCTTGATCTCCAGTCCTTCATCAACTGACACAGAAGTTTTCGAAAATGACATAACAGACGACCTCCTCTTGGAAGCTGAGACGCTTCGGTTGCTCGAGGACGCCGGTGATCCTACTCCTCCTGTTCCTCCTGCTGCTCCAGCTCCTCGAGCTCCTCCTGTCCCTGGTCCTGCTTCTGGTCCTGCTTCTTGTCCAGTTGTATGTCATGTCCTCCAGCTGCCGCTTGATCATGCTGACATCTGTCTAGGCCCGCCCGCTTCCGCTGCCGCCTGCGGCGAGGCCTGTCGACCGCGCCAATGGCCCAGCTCCAGCTGCCCGTTCTCCTCGTCCAGTTGCTGCTGGTCCTGTCAATCCCAGCCGTGTTGCCTCTGCTCCTGTTGCTTCTGGCCCTGCGGCTTCCGGCGCGATCGCTTCCAGCCTTGTCGCTTCCGGGCCTGGTACTCCTAGTTGAGCTCCTGCTGTATGTCGTGACCTCCTCCCATTGTCCCTTACTCATGCTAATTCCAATCCAGCCTGCGAGGGCCTTTGTACGGTTCGAACCTTTCAGGAGCCCCAATCGCTTAGTATTGGGCAATCAGCTTGGCTACCGGGGTGTCTTCTTGGTCTCTGACAACTTGCTGGAGGTGCCTATCCTTGCTGGTCTTGTCGAAGCTCGGTCCATTATTCGGTTTTCTGGTGTCGCTAATGACGACGTCTGTCGCACTGTGGTCTGGGCCCGTGTATGCAGGGGTGACTTCGGCCAAGCCAAAATTGTGCTAGGTCCTCGTTCACCTCGCTTCCTGAGTCCGAGAGGTGCCCGCCGGCTGGCCATCGACCTATGCGTCTTACGAGAACTAGACCCTGTTCTCCGGCTCGCTGCCAACATGGAGCAGTTTGACCGGGAATATGCCTTCAGTTGTTTTTGTCCCAACACGGTCACCAACGATCGGGCCCTGCTTTTGCGGCACATGAAGTCTTGTCATAAGATCACCAGGCCCATCATATGTATGTGCGGATTCACGAGCGATCGTCAACATTACCTTTGCCATCTCATTACATGCAAGGTGACGCAGGATGTCCGCAAGTTATAAGCGGCTCTGGGACTGTCCGGCCTTTCGTTGTTGACATGTCTGATGAACACAATTATGTAGATTAGGTGTCCAATTAATGGTGTTGCAGCAGACTTTCTCGTCTCCTAGTAACGACATGACTTAATGTTCAACTGTGGCGTCTCTCCACCCTAGCTTTTCGTCGCAAACGCGCCTTATGCACCGCCATATGCACCGCCACCTAGTAGCCACCCATTTCCTTCCCTATCCTGATCACCCTACGGAGTACTGTGTCTACACGCGTATGAAAGTAGAGCAGACCAGATCAGCACACTACCAGACGCAATCCTACACATCTAGCACCGTTCATCTCAGTGTCGCCGACAATTACTTGTTCCTCTTGCTTCCGCTTGACCAGATCTTCAGCGAACTTCGAGCACCTCTTCCGGCTGATATCGTACCTATCTTCCTCTGTCCTTACTCGATCGAGATACTTTCCATTGGGCCCCTTCAATCGATCCTGCTTTCCGCCTGTGTCGCAGGCATTTCCGACCCGCGACGGTAATATGGACTCAGGGATGAAAGCGTAAACGAATCGAACTCGCCTAGCAGTATCGAGTGCGGACACCAGACTTGTGCGTGACATCAACAGCACCTCTGGCAAAAGATGGTTTACCAGGAAAGTCAGGATCAGTTCAGGGATTCCACTCGTTTCTCCGTCAGAGTCCAGCGCTTACATTTTCAACATTCGGACTATACTTCCGAAAGCTATCCGACCACAAGAGAGTTTGTTCAATATCATGACATTGGAGTGCACAGCGGTAATACGGCGGCCATCGAGCCTGCTGGGGCGTCGATTGATACCGTCTCTTCTCGCCTCCACCGACCTCAATATGGGTCGGGTAAAAGAGGTGGAAACTGGCCCTGTCACCACTGCGAGGCTTACAGGATGGCCATGAAGCACAGCGAGCCTGGTGCGTTCGTTGCAAACCTCGGAATCCCTGCAGCACCACCATACAGCCCGGCTTCAATATCTGTTTCTCCACAAAGCAGAGCATATCAGCGTCCTACCAGAGAACGACAAACTCCACTGTCCCTGATTCCAGAAGCTTTCTTCAGGACACTAAGGCTCCATTGGCCCGTAGAAGCTCGCACGGCGAGCATCACGCTGGGAACGAAGCGACTTTGGATCGATTGACGATGGGCAGAGCCCTCTACAGCGATCCACGAGCGAATGCTGCATGAGTGGTATTCGTGGTAGTTATGCATGTTGCACGGCTTGAAACCCTCGTCGTCAGGTCTGTCCGTCACAGAAGCTGGGTTAATATCTTCGTGACGGTCTTCTTCGGACCTCCTTGGTAATCCTGTTCATCGATTTGCCGCATTGTTGACATTGAAAGGCCCACGAAGAACCCCTATACCGACGCACACGTGTATCAGCGAAAGGCGACCCTGGTGTCGCCGCTGTGCACGGCCCAGTCCCCCGCCATCGAGCAGCTGGTTTGTATACGTGTTCAAGAACTGCGTTCGGGAGTCAGGCTAAGTTACTATCATTTGCATGGCCTTTTTGCGCGGTATCAATACATGGTATGTGTTTGGCGTTCAGTGTCATGCCATAGGCGCAGTCGTTTCTCCCAGTGACACTTGCCCTATGCTTGTGTTCCGGCTACAGTTCACCGGTATTTGTGCCATGCGAAGCCAGAGGCCTTCTCGTGATTCGCATTCGTACTCCTCTTTCTCCACCTCCTTTGTTTACATTTTTGCGACCTCGCTGCCACAGGCAGCACCACTCTACCTCCTCCGCTAATAACGGCCACTATCCCTACAGTATCGCAGCCAACCTCGTCCAGCAACTCCCAACTTTCTGCAACATGCCGAGCACCTAAGGCCCGGTGATGAACACCGCTTGCCCTGCGTTGAAGGTGTAATATCAGAGGTAGGCGGGATGACTAGGTCGGAGGGATCGATCATAACTAGATCGCCAGTTTACGTCGTGCCGCCGCACGATAATCGGAGTGCTTTCCTATTAACACTCGACTCGCATCGCCATCTGCTTGACACCTTCACCTCACAGCCCTCGAACACCATACCTACAACACGCCCTTGATGTCCGAAACAACACCTTCGGCTGTCCGTCTCCGACTACCATCCTTCTGCGACGCCCGCGGT